TTGCTGATACGAGGCAACGTTATCTTTATTTTCTTTAAATTTCTCCAGCATGGCATCCTATAGTGTTGTCACAAAATCTGCTTCAGCCGTTGCTATTTCAAGCACTTTTGTGGAGAAGCGTAGATCCAGTTGTTTGATAGGCTCTCTTCCATGGAAGATGGTACTGGGACAACATCCGATGGATGAATAGTAAGATGTATTATGGATGAATGTCGCAAGCGGTACATATTTGTGCCAGTTGGCCCATTGTCCATCTGTATTGAGTTTGAGGATCCTTTTAAATACTCCATGCGATCTCTCAACTAGTCCAATAATTTGAGGGTGCTTTAATGTTGCATGCCCAATTTTAATGTCGAGCAGATTGGTGAGCTCGTGTATCAGTTTCGACCTGAAAACACTGCCAAGGTCGGACAAAAATTGTTTAGGGACGTAACTGCGCACAAAGAACATTTTTGTTAGTTCTCTTGCAACCGATTCAGCGCTTGCGTTTGTCAATGGTGCAGCGAAGAGGTATTTTGAAAGAACGTCTATTCCCGAGAGTACGAATTTATACACCGGCGACTTGAATGGTCCGACTATATCTATCTGCATCATGTCTCCTGGGAATGATTGCAGTGAGGAAAGTGGTTGAAGTCGTGGAGTTTGATGTTTGTTAGACGCATTCTTGGGCTGCAGGCATTTTTAATGGTATTTACCAGAACCTCCGTAAAGCCTGGAAAGTAAAATCGCTTCCTGAATTCTTCATTTGTTCGGGTCATCCCGATATGTCCCCCTGTCGGTGAGTTATGGATTCGGTACATGACTTCATTCCACAAGTGTTTCGGCAAACAACACTGCTTGTGCTTGATGTTACCTGTGTCATCGTAGAAGTTGCGAAACAAAATCTCGTCTTCAATTATGAGTCGGTTGAATTGTTTTGCGTACTTCTTTAGGCGGCTATTTGCATACGTAAGATGTCCGGATCTTTCTGTTGTTCAGCCTTTAGGTCCAGCGGTTCACTATTTAAACGTAAGTCGTTGTAAAGCTCAGCGGGGTCTGGATATTCTACTGCATTTACTGTTTTCCGAATAAGGTGAACCAATGATTTCGGTTTTAACACTTCGTTGCCATTTTTGCCGATTTGATTTTCCAAATATGCCTGGTAGAGTCCTAATCTTTGCAAATTAGCAATAAGATTGTCGTCGATTTCCTCGATAGTAGAGAATGCATCTTCTATTGCTTGGACCTGGTTGAGCAAAGCATCCGGTACTCTAGCAGTTGAGTCGATATATATTTCTCGAACTGGTACTTTATCTGTTAACTTTAGTGAAAGTGAGGCCGATGAGTCCGTTTGCATCCTGGACAAGACGTCAGCTGCATAGTTTGATGTTCCCGGTATGTGCGCTATTATGATGTTGAAAGATAGAACTCTGTCGAGAAAGTTCCATACTGATGGAGGTATTGTTTTCGCCTGAAAAAACGGAGTAGGGCTTCTATTATCGGTCAACACGATCACTGGTTCGACTGATCCCCAGATGTAGTGCGAAAAGTGATCAAGCGCAAAATACAATGCTAGAAATTCTTTATATTATATTGAAAAGTTCAGTTGTGCTGGATTAAACAGCCGGGAACCAAATGACACTGGTGCAACCGTCTTTGTCACCTTTATTGTCAGTTTTGATGTAATCTTCCACCATTAGCACAAATCCCGTCCCATGGTAGCTAGCATCGCAAAGTATGACATATTGTAGTCCTAGTTTTGGTAGTCTGAGTGTCAAGTTGGTTGCTTGTATTAAGTCTTTTTTGAGTACCTCAAGACTTTTGTAATGCTCCGCGAGTATTTCAAAGTCTATCGATTTCTTTAGCAGCCGATAGAAAGGTATGAGTTTCTCACCTAGACTGGGCATGTAGTTCCTAAAGAACTGAACGAATCCCATAAGTCTTTTTTAATTGTTTGATTGTCTGAGGCATTTTGATTTTATCTAGGAATGCAGAGATTTTTACTTTCTCGGGGGAAATTCCCTTTGGTGTTACTAAAGAACTTCATTCTTTGGGTTCTTATTTCACATTTCTTCGGTGAAAGTTTTAGACCTGATCTGCGTATACATTCAAAGATTTTTTGAAGTATCGGGGTTAGTTCCTGAAGGTTGTTCACAGCACTGCCTATATCATCCATGAACTGGGTACATAAGTCAGCTGCTACGCATGGATCAAGGTAGTGGCGTATAAATCAACTAAGTCCCGTGACAGATTTACTGATCCCTTGAGCTAAGCATTTATATGCGTAGGTTTGTGACCGGAAATTAAATGCCAAAATTTGCACTGACAGGTCATCTGCCATTTGCACACAGTGATAAGTCCGAGAACAATCCAATTTGGTAAACAAACTCTTTCCGGCGAAGTGATTGGATGCATCGGTCATGTTTGAAATTGGAAACTTACTGTTGATATAATCAGTCTTGATTGAGTGATTGATTCGCCTGAGGTCAATCAACATCCTTAATTTACCTGAAGGTTTTCTATGTGCAAATAGTGGACTGCTGTATTTGGAATGCGATAGCGTTGTTATCAGTCCGAAGTAGTGCATCAAGGCGAGCTCCACTGTTAATGCCTTTCGTAAGTGAATTGGTGTGGGTGGTCCTTGTGTATATATGGGTCGTTGATGTTCTGGTGAAGGCTTTACCTTTAAATTCGAGTTATAGCCTACGTCAAATCTGTGTTTTGCAAATATGTCAGAATATTCGATAAGTAAACGCTCCACTACTTCTGACCTTTGATCTTTCGTCAAAACTGAATTTTCCCACTCGAAATTCTTTAAAAAGGTCAAACGATCTTGAAGGTTATTTTTTGGTTCAATTTGGCTTTGGAAATGCAGGATATGGTCATAAATTTCCCGCTGAATGGTGGGAAGTGATCCAGGGTTTGGGCAAGTTTCAGGCGTTGGGAACCAAAATTTTTCATACTCGGGCGGTGGTTTCAGCTGTGAAGCGGACGGCATGCTCGTCTTCCCTTCGATTAATTCGTTAATTCCCAATTCAACATCATCGGGTTGTTTCATTTGTGCCAGTGCAAGTGTTTCTGGCAAGATTGGAATGAGTTTTTCGAATTCAGAGAGCGTTAGAATTGAAAATGTTAGAAGATGTTCGGACGGCAGAAGTCTTGATGTATTCCTTGCATCAGACCCAAACCTTTTGATGTATTCCTTGTATCAGACCCAAAGTAGTTCGACTACTGACCCAGGAATAGAAGTCCAATACTCCTCAAATGGAAAAACTCCTCAAATCACCATGCATACAAAACAAACCTGTCCTTTCCAGCGTCGAGCAGAACAATACCCCCAACATCTAAACGTGCAAAGCGCAAAACCGATTGGGACAATTTCAACAATTAAATCGTCAGCCAACCTTTTAAAACTTACTGTTACAGCAAAACAGACGTCCTCCTGCTTCAGTGGTATAAATGGCTGGAGAACATCATGGACGAAAGTATACCAAGAGTCACCAAACACAGGTCGGGGATCCCGCTCTGGATTGGACCCCCAACTTCACATCAAATGAGAACAGTCGCGACAAGGAAACGGAAGTACGCAAAAGCAAACTCACTCTTCCTACTCCTCAAAATCAAAAAAGCAGAAAAAATTTTAAACAATGAAATCAAAAAGGACCAGGCAAAATTTGAAGCAGTAGTATTCGAAAGCCGTCGTATGTCTGCTCTTCAAAAGTACTTACAGTCGATTCACAAAAAACATCCCCTACCTGACGACAGGTTCCTCAAACAATCTTCAGGTGTAAACGAAAAAGCCGTAAGCAGTGAGCAAAAAAGCAACAATTTCTTCACCCAAGTTTTATTCCAAGAAATAACTGGCGAACAAATATACATTCAATCAGAAATAAACTAGATGGCAATAACCGAGGAAGAGATCACCCAATGCCTACAAACTCTGAAAACAAATAAAGCATGCGGAAGAGACAACGTAAGAAAAATCATCCTAAAACACGCTACTTCACTCGCAAAGTCACCAAAACTCATCTTTCAAACCTGCATTAATAAAGGCTTTTTCCCACGCCTCTGGGAAAAAGTGAAATAACCCCAGTTTTTAAAGCAACCAGCAAGGAGGACATATCTCGATACATAACAATTAGCCTTCTGGCAAATGTATCCAAAGTATTTGAAAAAAAGATTGTTCGACCGACTATACCCAGAAATCGAAACGGAATTACACCCCCAGCCCAGTTCAGCTTCAGAAAGAACAGGTCAGCCATTTTACAGCTGCTGCTGAAAACAGACATTAAAGAAAACTCGAACTTACGGGTGCTATACATAGATTTCAGTAAACCCTTCGACAAGGTCCCATATCAATCACTTATATCAGAAATCGCAGAGACAGGAATTGGAGGGAAGATCCTACAGCTGTTGGCCAGCTACTTGACATCAAGAAAACAATGTGTCAAAATCAACCGAAACAGATCCCCAATCACGCCTGTCACAAGCGGAGTAACGCAGGGTTCTATACTCGGCCCACTCATGTTCCTAATATACGTGAACGATCTCCTTCAATCAGTCACGCCAAAGATATCATTTGGTTATGCAGACGACTTCAAAGTCATTTTTCTCCCATTACTCTCCTTGCAGCTTATGTAATCAAATGACAAAAAGTATGAATTGGGGAAATGCCCAAATTTGCTGCATTTCAAGTTTCCGCCACCTAACTGACAGCCAAATAGGTATCAAGCCAATTAGGTATAAATGACTCAATTTCACAACGACAAAAGGCCATATATGTCAAATCCTATGGAAAATTTCTGATCCTTGGAATTAGCCTGTCAGTCTAAAAATCTTTTCTTTTTAAATTAAGGCCATCTTATAATTATTTTACGAGGTTTAATGAAGACTGAAGGCACACTTCATTTTCATGCTATCCTATGAGGTGTCTTTTTAACTTTAGGTTTCATTAAGGCTCTCAGGACTAAGAACTATGAAGTAAATCATAAAACATGCCATCACATGTGGTGTCTTTTCACTTAAATACTCTCAGGATGAAGACTTCAATTTTCAAATTAAACCAGTCATGACTGGGAAGTTTGAAATAATTCAGAAACCATGCTAGCCAATGGGTTGTCTTTTTCTCTTTTAAATCTAAAGAAAACTCTGAGGCCTCGGAACTTCAAAATCAGTTCAAAAGCTTCGAAATCTTTCAAAGGTAATCAGATATGCTCACAGGTAATCAGCTCAACTGAATACTGTTGAAATCAGTGTTTAAAAACCAATTGCAGCTAACAACAAGCCAATCGCGGTTGATCCAAAAATTAAGAGATGAGATTATCGAAACATGAACATATAGAAAGAAAGACAAGATAGAAAACAGGAGTCGTCTAAAATGTTTCGGATGCAGTACCAATACTGGGTTTTATGATGTCTCTGCCAGTATGGTATGTTCCAGGACACGATGTAGTATGGAATGAGAAGAGCTAGGGTCACTGTTGAAAGCAGTTTGGAAGGGTGTCCCGAGAGGTAGAAAGCGGCAGCTGCGCCGATGAACAGACCCAGCATTGTACTGCACACGTCTCCGTGTTCTGAAACGGCAAATATCAACATTTTTAGTACTAAAACTAAGATTATTATACAACACTTTTCAGAAAACATAACTAATGTTATTATGATATGACTGTCCTTCATCCACAATGAAAATGGTCAGCGGTATTAGAGCAAGAGCTCTAATAATGGCAGGCCTCGAACCACCAACCTTTGCATTAGGAGAAAGATCCACTAGACACCTTTCGACCACTTCCCTTTATCAAAAAAGGACCAGTTTTATAATTATTTACCAAAAAAATTTATAACAGAAACGCAAAGTTGCACTTCTCAAGCTAAGAAGACGTGAAGCCAAACTCGTGAGGCCAAAATTTTATACCCTTTTCCAGCTTTTTAAATCCCCCCATACGCAATGTACAGAACATGTAACGTACAATCTAGTAACTCGTCTAGTAACTCATTAATAAAATCAAAGAGCCTGCCTTCGAACTATTTGGATGGATTCCGAGCCGGAACAGTTCTCCGCCTACCTATGCCTGAATAGTAAACTGATAAATAATCAGAGGTAGAACATCTTTATAACTTCAATCTCAAGTCATCAATATCTTTCAGCTGGTATTAAAATATTACCAAAGACACATACCGCAGCAACTGCACATATAAATATGAAACTTAGGTTGTAAAACTTCAACTCCTAATATAAAACTAGCGGTGCCTAAGAATGTGGGCTAGAATCCTAATTAGGTCTAATTTGGGCACCGAAGAGCAAGAATTCTCTCCAATTCATATTTCGGCTACATGACATTCGACCAAACTCTATAAAAATTTCTATCACCTACGCCTGTGTTGGCTTTTCACGTTAGAACAAACGAATTAACCGTTGGGCCGCAATTGAGATAAACAACAGGAAATTTCTCCGCATAGTGATCGATCGGCAAAGGATCTGGTGCTAATTTTAGCTTGAAGTAAACAGCAGATTCAGCGGAATGCATCATGCAGATGGCGCTAAATTTCCCATCTTCTCTCAGTTAATTTCAATATTCCTGTTTATACATCTTAACAAACTTAACTTTAATTTCAACAAGTCAACTTCCGTGCTTCCAATTTCAATAATGACATCATCAAATTTCAGCAAAAACGTTTCAACTTCAACATACTTCAATTAAATCAACAACAAGACTCCTCGTATTTCAGGGCGAAGCCCTGAATATTCCAACTATATTTAAGGCCATTTTTGAAAGTTTTTGGCTGAAAAAATGATCACAAATAAGAGAAAAAAATTTTCCACTGGAACCGATAACAATTGAAAGAAAAACTTTTTTTCCACCTGAACATTGGACAAGTTCCAAGGAGCATTTAGCGTCTCGTAGCCTTCAAAATGTGACCAAATGACTTGCATCAATTCAATGTTGAACGATTCAATCCGCTGCTTACGCAATTTATCAGAATCGCGCATTATTAATACCAAATTAGCCAAATTTGGGAATTTTCCAATTCCCATAAAACGCAAAAAAGATCACAGATGATTTTCTTTTTACATTTGAGCTCCAGACAACGAAATCTTTTCGCGTCTTCCATCCAAAAAAAAGCCTTCAACAAGTTCTATTGGTGTTATGGAGACTAGGAACAAATCACACTTACAAGAAGCAGCAAGATAAAAGTTAACAAGTTCAAGAAATTTATAAAAACCGAATTAAGATGCCTACGGCTAGCGCGTTTTCAGACACAAAACAATAAAAAAACTTGGCTAACTTGGGAAAGCATTTTAAGACCTACCGGCTCCGCTTGCTGTACTTGCGGGGCTAAATTAAAATGAATATTGTAAAAATACACGTTGAATTTGCTTTGACTAGTGAAAATTATATTTTTTTCTCGTTCTTTCTTTCATATGGTTAAAAATTCCGTCACAAAACGCTTGAACAAAAAGTCGAAAATTGACTGAATGAAAAAACCACCTCCGCATAAACGTTCCGAGCTTTCTTCGAAAGAATGAACATACACAAAATATGGTAACATACACAGAATAAATTTAATTGTCAATGATTTCCTTCTGAAGCAAGATAACTCAAAACAAACTAAGAAAATGACTGTTAATTCAAGTTGAAAGATTGTTACTGAGTTGAATGGTGTTACTGCGTCGATTGAAGTTAGTTGATTTTCAAGGACAGCTGTTGAAACTAAAAGCCAGGAAGTATGTGTTGAAATTAAAACAAAAGATTTCGACTTATTTTTAGTTTCCTGTTTAAATTTCTCAAAATTAAGTTTAAGAAATCTACAATTAGAAATATCGAAACTAGTCACCTTTCGACCACTTCCACTATTCACCTTTCGACCACTTCCCTTTATCAAAAAGGACCAGTTTTAAAAAGATTAACCAAAAATTTATCGCAGAAACACGAAGTTGCACTTCTCAAGCATAAGATTTATACCCTTTTCAGCTTCTTAAATCCCCCATGTACAGAACATGTAACCTAAAACTTAGGAACTCGTCTAGTAACTCATTAATAAAATCAAAAAGCCTGCCTTCGAACTATTTGGATGGATTCCGAGCCGGAACACTTCTCCGCCTACCTATGCCTGAATAGTAAACTGATAAATAATCAGAGGTGGAACATCTTTATAATTTCAATCTCAAGTCATCAATATCTTTCAGCTGGTATTAAAAGATTACCAAAGACACATACCGCAGTAATTGCACATATAAATATGAATCTCCAACTCCTAATATAAAACTAGCGGTGCCTAAGAATGTGGGCTAGAATCCTAATTATGTCTAATTTGGGCACAGAAGAGCAAAAACTCTCTCCAATTTTATATTTCGGCTAAATGACCTTCGACCAAACTTTATAAAATTTGCTATCACCTACGCCTGTGTCATGCAGCCGAAAGTATGTGTTGAAAATAAAACAAATTATTTTGACTCATTCCTAGTTTCCTGTTTAAATTTCTCAAAATTAGGTTTATGAAATATACAATTAGAAATGTCGAAACTAAAAGTGAAAAGGCATTGTTTTCTTTTCAATTCAATTGCGAGAATAGCCGTTTACTATGGAAGTAGCACAGAATGCATCGAACATAGTCTTAAAAAACACAAGTTTTTTCAAATTCGTGTCGTTTTTCTGCGCGGTATGATAGAAGGATCTGAACAAAAAAAACCTAACTTAGGCATATCCGACAGTCATAGTAAAATTGTCAAACTGGACAATAGTTTTCCAAGATTTTCAATAACTAATTTTGCGTGGAAAAAAGCAAAGGAAACAAAATAAAAAAAACGCCCGAATACAAAGTTCCTCCCCATTTTCAATCGACGGAAGAAAATCTGAAAGCTCACCAGAATCAGTGAGCTAATATAGTTCATGGAAACTAATTCAAGAAAAAGAATATCGGTTTGCTGCGCAAATAGCACAAAATTTCCGACCACCGTTATTTTTATAACAAAACGTAAAAATGACCCGGAGAAAAATCTTTTTGATGTGTTTAAGTTACTGAAAGGGGACTGAATTATCGGATGCGGCAAAGAATCAGTTAATAAAAGTTTTAAACATAAACTCTGTCAAGCCCCTAACTCAAAATTTTTTTCAACTTCTAAGAATTTTTTCAAATTCAGCGGCATTCATTAGGGACTGACTGGAAGTGTAAGCTCACATTATTTTGTTGTAGATGTTAGCCCTAAAGCGGTGCGTCCGGCATGCTCAAACCCCGTCTTAAATCTGTTGAATTTTAAGTCGACTGAAGCTACAAACCTATGGGGGTTAAAGACGGGAGTTATTAGAACAGTTGAAACAATGTCAAGAGGTGTGCGGGGAATAAAAAAAGGGGCAGTTTGAACGAATGCATGGGTCTATTCGATTCAGGGATAAACTTATGAAGTGCTATAACTGGACCTTAATTAGGAAAGGGTTCTTCTGATGCCGCGCATGGGGCGATGCTTCGGATGGGGAGAAATTGAGAAGCTTGAGTGGGAGTATTTTCGCGAGAAATGCATCAGCAAAAGTCTGCTCGACACTTCAAGAAAAGATTGTTTCAATATATATTTGTTGTCGAGAGGTAAGTAGCTTAGTTCGTTAACTTTAATTTAAAAAGAATAGATTTTTTTTAAAAATTTTAAAAGAATTTTTGCTGTACCGGAATTAGTGTTGGCATTATACTAGTATGAGAAAAATGCCTACTGGTATGTACTAGTACCTACTAGTATTTATACTAGTATCGATACTAGTAGGTACTTTTCCTGGACTTGAAAAGAAGAAAAAAACATTAAAGACATCAAGTTATGCATTTTGATCCTCAAAATGAAAAGAATAGTTTTCTGGAATGCCTCTGAAAGCACGGTTTATGTACACAAACGCAAGTTTGTTAACTCGGACGTTAGAAAGTCGATTTCGCCTCTCACTGTGAATTAAGTTGAAAACACTCCAAGCGCGTTCAGACTCAGCCGAAGATGTTGGTACTTGGTACACGCGAATGGCAATTTCTGCGAGTACTGGGTACTCGATTCTTCCATAAACGGACCAAAACAGATGATCTTCAATGTCTTCAACTGCCAAATTATTCGAATATGAGAAACTTGCCAGGAAAGTTGTCAATTCTCTGACACCTGCATTTCGTTTTTCAGCATCTTGGAAAAACACGTTGATGTATTTTTTCAGCTGGTTGATTGTATCTTTCCTGTCATCTTGAATCATGTCTTCACCGCCCCGTGTTTTTGGGGAGAGCAGATAAGCAAACCCCATAGATTCAGTGTGCAAGAAGTTCCATCGCTCTAGCACCAATTCGCGATAAGTTTCTTCAACTGAAAAAGTTTCAGACAGTTTTTTGAAACTTGAGTAAACAACCGAGAGGTCAGATGAATTACTTTCAAGTTTCCCCAACAAGTTTGTAGGCATTTCAAGAGCGGAGCGTATACGGGTCACATTCGTCCAGAACTCAATACTCATGACAGTTTCTTTAAATTTGATGTCAGGGTCTTTGGTATACCGATCAAGTGTTCCGTTACTGACCAGCATGCAAAGCGCGTTCCTTCCAGCAATGATGCTGTCCAAGCACTTGAACTGAGAATACCAGCGCGTTTCAACCGGAAGGCACAGCTGCTTAGTTATACCAAATGTTTCACAGTTCTTGTTGAACTCTGCTGTTACTATGTGCCTGTTTCGAACATACTTGGCAACTTCGACGGCTTTCTCAATAAAAACCAAGTTTCTATCAAGTGAACAAAAGTCTTTAATCAACAAGTTAAGGACGTGCGCCGAACAACCATTCGCAAAAATGGTAGGGTGTTTTTCTTCAATAATATCCCATGCAGCTCTCGTCGGTTACGATGGACCAGCCGTCGGTTACGATGGACACGTATTTTGCGTCTGCCAACTTTTTGTCGATGTCAGCCTTAAGCGTCAAATATTCGCGGTCCAAAAGAACTCCGCTCAATTGTTTTCGGGAAGGTGGCGTATAAGAAGGGCGAAGTTTTCTTACCCAATCTCTCAGTGACGGTGCTTCGGCGAACGCAAAAGGCATGGCTGTGTCATAAATCATCCTCGAAAAACTGACGTCCAATTCTTCTTTCTGTATTGCAGTCATCGAATCAATCCATTTAGGGTATTTGGGTGCAGGTTCCACATTTTCTTCATTACCTGGCGGGTTATTGGGTGTTGAAACAGTCACAATACATTTCTTCTCAACCAAACTTCGAAACATGTTGGTCTCCGTTGTTGGTTGACCTCGGCAGTTACCCGATCTTTTATGGTTGCCAAGTTTCTGTCGATTCCATATGACAGACTTTTCACAAGTTCGACATTTTCCTTTGTTTCCATCTTTTTCGTGAAGGTAATCTTCGATTTTAACATTTTCCATCTTGAATAAAACAGTGAGCCAGCTGATATAAACACGCAGCAGTTTTGTCCGGAGGAAACGCGACAATAGACCAATTGAAAATGCTTACTAAGCATCGGCGGTGAACAAGCACACTCACATCAAAGAAATTAGCCTACTTAAGCAGCCTACTCAACTAGTGAATTAAGCTACTTTCACAACTTTGAAAGTCTGTGATACTAGTATCTAAATTTCATATACTAGTATATACTAGTATCGATACTAGTATAAATTTCTACTAGTATCAGGTATGTGCCAACACTAACCGGAATGCTTTATTCCAGGACCATATATCCTAAATGATGTCGGGGAGGATATTCCGGGAAGATCAAGGAGTAAAAACGGTGAAAAATAGTTGATTTAAGGGGATATAATTTGTGCGAGCAGACTGAGCGGAGAGTTATTAAAAATGGCGGGTTGAACTTGAAAGTTTACTTTCAGGACATAAACGTTCGGGCGCATTTTTTTTAGTACAACCCGTTATAGTGTGAAGAGTGGCGTTTTAAACTTTTGTAAGCATTAGCAAAATTGGCGGCATTAGAAAAATCTAGGCACGCCTAATTTATCTGATCATGAGGTGACCAGAATTTGCTATTGTGCTTTGCGAAGTTAAGCTAAGAGAAGGGGTGTATTTCCCATTTCGAGGGGGGTCAGTAACGAATTCCTAATTGAACGAGGAGAAAAGGTTGGCGGATACTCTTGATGAGAAAACCAGGCATCTAGACGTAAACAATTGGTGTAACTTAATTAATTATTTGATAAATTACAAAACGAGCCTTTTGAAAGTTGCTTGACTGAACAACTTTGAGACTGAATGCGTTGAGAATCTTTCGCGTAAAGTTGTATTTCAATTCAGTGGGCAAAATGACGCACAAACAACGTTTAAAAATGAAATAAGGCAAGAAGATGGCAGTGACGCGTCAAATGAGGATGCTGGACTTTTTATCAAATAGCAGTCGAGTTTAGTGGTGATCAATTAAAGGGGTGAAGAAAGACTGCATAATTTCGGCGCCGATGTTAACCCCGCGTCAGTCCTCTTGTTCAATGCAGCACCACAGCGGAAACTGCGCGTTTGCGTCATCAAGTTTAATAATGTTTTCATTTGAGAGGAGAATTGAAGTATTTGCTTTTAGTCGCGTGGAGGAATATCGAAACATTTAAGATTATTATTGTTGATGTTTACACAAACGCTTTGAGCCACCGGAGTTCTGCCTTGCTTTTATGTTCCTAGTTTAAAGAACTCTGATTTATAGTAAGAAGACGGTTTTTAAGTTAAATAGGCCCTAACGAAAGAGCGGCTTTTGAAACTCTTTGGTTTCTGGAAAAACTGCAATTTGAATGTCATACTCGCACAGTAAAGCTATTATTTCAGAAGCTTTCCCATGAACACCATAAAACCTCAACTGTAGTATGACCAGGGACTAAGTTTACAGTGAGGGTGGATTTGCTTGATTACTAGGGGGGGTTTGTAATCAAATAAGTTAACTGTATCGAAGTTTGAAATCAGTGATGGATTTGTTTCTGGGGGAAATTAAGTTGAAGGGAAAGGAATAGAACTTAGTCTGTAAATAGTTACAGAATTTGTCTTGTTAGCTACAACGGTTTCTGGGAGAACATGATGTAATTTGCTGTGAGGGGACAGTAAAACTCTGCTGTGTTGTTTAAGCGTGATTAGACCAGTGAGTTTAAAAGGAAACCATCTACAAAGTAACAGCAAACGCTTGCTTGAGAGCTAAAAATTTTAAGCTTGCACGCTGAGCACGTATAAGGTCCGGGTTTATGCCGGCGTTACGAAGAAGTATTGAGATTTATAGACGGAGCAACCCGGCCGACTTGGGAAACTCAATCGAAAAACCATTCCAAGCATGCGTTTCGCTCTCCCCTGTTTGAGAAGGTAGGTTAAACAATATTTGCGGCTGTTTGCGCAGTGCGTCGGGTCTACCACTGGAAAGCAGTACTTCTGGAGCCCTAGTTTTACTCGCTCAAATTCTTCTTACACAAAAAGTAACTTCCTGATTTAACCTCTTATCCTAACGGAAGGAAACAGAAAATGTAGAAATCACTGGGTCTTATTTCATTGTTTAACCCTTGTTTAATCTTCTTCATTCAACAGAGGGTAACAAACGATTGATTCAACACAAAAATAAATTTCACATTATACTATGCATTGATATTATGTTTTCTAACCTTTTTGCTTGATGTTTTCGGACATTTTTACTGATAAAAGTGCTCTCCAATTATTTTAAAAGACGGGGCATATATGCCATATACCGGGGCGACTTTTACCAGGCAATTGACTCCAAAATCTTATATAGCGTCCGGCTTGTAGGCCGAGAGAAAAGACAGTTAACTTAAGAAAAACTCCTAAAACTGATCAGAAAGAGCATACAAAACTCTTTTATTGCATTTTTGGTCTTTTATTGATTCTTTTACTTGCCTTCTCCGAAAAGATGTATCAAGGCACTTCTTAAAGTCGGTTCATTAAACACCAAGAATGTCACAGATACCAAGTACATTCCGTGACAACACACTGCTACGTGTCTGACTTTGGGGTGAATGCTCCTTCTGGCGGGGTAGTTGGCATAGCCTGATGACATGAGGAGAAAAGAGGCAAACTGCAGCACTATTCTACCACCATAGTGCAACTGAAACAACATCATCGTCATCATCATCAAAAATTCTCGCCAACCAAAAATTAAAATAACTTGCTGATCGCTAGCGCAATAACACGAATTATATCTTCGGATTTGCTAGTGTCCACAGATACCATTAAATTTTGAATTTCCAGACAGGTTTTGCGATCTCGAAGAAAAAATTCTGCGGACTCCGATGACAAAAAGAGAGCTTGAGGTTGCGATTAGTTTCACCTCGCCAGTATTTTTCAGAAATAAAAGATGACTGTTTAAGCATTCAACTCTCAGCCGTCTTTTCGAAACTAATTAGATCATTAAATAGGTCTGAAACTGATTGTTTCAACCCTCAAAAGGGCCTGTTTCAAGATTTTTTTTCTTTGAATGTCAACCTTCAACAACCAAAATTTTGATCATAATTCTCTGAAATTAAGATCTATTTTCGGTTGCATGTAACTATATTTTTGCAACATTGCCCATGTGGTGTTTGTGAAAAACAATTTCGTTTGAACTGAAAAATGCGGTTGAAGGTACTCGAGCTTGCTGAGTAACATTGAGATGCCAATTGAAACAAAGTACGAAACTGAGATGAAAATTGAAACATCTGTTGATGCACTTAGAGTCGCATCTCATTTCGAAGCGCCTCCTCCAATTTTGGCAGCCTGATTGTTTCCGTTGTTTCTAGCTATTTTAGTTCACATACAAAATCACATGAGTTGTGAAAAATTGAAATTCTTATACTGGCAACTGAATATTGTTCTAGTACATGGAATGGAATGTGTGTAAATCAACTTAAAAAAAAACCAAGTCCTAAACTTGCGACAAGCCTCTTTTTCTCAATATGGATTTCAAAATAAATATTGAAAAATAAGGCAAAAAGTGTTTAGATCAAAATTATTCTGTTTTAAAGCTGAACACATTTTCAACTGACCTTTTGCCATTCGGGCGGTTGGGCAGCCACAGAGAAGAGGAAGTAGTTAGCCAGAGGTTGTTCCACTGCCAGAATGAGTGAAAAGAGGCGTGGCTTGTACTGGAAGATTAAGAATGTCGTGCAAGTGATGACAATTGCTAGATGCACGTATATTATTGCAGTAGAAACCTGATACTCCCGGTTTCTAAACAACAATAAAAACTTATTTGTTTGTTGATTCCAGTTTCTGAGCAGTTTTCCATCAATGCGGAGCCCAATACTGTTTAAATAACCAAAATAAATGAATAACCTGAATGAAAAATTACAACGAGGCTACAATCAGCTTTTATTCACTGGTATTAGCTTCTGTGCAAATTGAATCGTATCGAACTCTCAAAATAGAACAAAACAGCAGTATAAAAATCATCTAATTGATACTGGCTCCTTTGATTGCTTCGAAATAATTTTTCTAATATTCGCAGCGCTTGAAATGAATAATTTTTGTTCCGACTTTCGAACAAGTGACGGAACATTTGTACTTGAGGTAGTTTTCTTAACAACTCCATCTTAAGTCAAAACAGTTGGAATTTTAAAATACTCCGTTAAAAACCCTCCTTCGTTCTCCAAAAAAAAACCTCAGCTGCCTTTTCTGCGTTAACTTTGAATGTTATGATCTGATCAGAATGTTATGATCTGATCCTAGACAAAAAAATGTACGAAAAACGTCTAGGCGGTGTCGTCATATTTGAAAATTATCTTTCAGTATAATCCCTAACGTATAAAAATTCAAAATGTTTCATGGAGCAAAACAGTTTGCGAAAAGTTCAAGTTTTTCTTCGGCCAGCTATTCAAGCTGAGAAACTTCGAAACAATTCAAATTAGTTCAGACTGAATCGGTTCGCAAAAATATTAAGTTCTTCTAGAGCAATAAATTCATGAAAGGAATCAGATGATAAAAATTTTTCTCAAGAGCTATTCAAGTATGAAACTTAGAAAAATATTTCATAAATTGTTTCTTAAACTGAATCATTCTAAGAAACAATATAGTTTTCCTGAGCCAGTTCTTCAATCGATGAGGCTATGAAATAATTCAAATATTTTCATAGAACGAAATAGTTCCCTATAAACTCGAGCTAGTTGTTCTACGCAAGCTATTCAAGCGACATTACTTTTGAAACATTTAGTGTTATTTTTTGGAATAAAAACGGATGGCAAAATTTGACCTTTTTCGATTAAAGCCATTCAAGAGATGAAATTTGCTTTAGGTTGACCAAAATATTTTACAGAGAGGCGAAGCAAAGTGAACCAAAATTTTTGTATGTCTCGATAAATAAAACTAGAGGCCCAGCTGAAGCTGGAGGTACGTGATTGATACTGAGTGAATTTTCTATACTCATGCGTCACGAAATAGGTGATTTCAAAATTTGGACTTTGCCCAAAACCTTAGTTGCTTCTCTACTAATTTTGAGATAAACAATTGTCCCACGGATATAACTTCTCTTACAAGAAGTTAAGGAGTCACCGCTTCTGTAGGAACAATTATTACAACCGGTTTTTTCAATTGAACTTTTCATCTCAGATTTGATTTGGCAAATATTAAGAAAGTTCAGTAAATTTCTAAGAAAAAACGGTCAAAAGACTTTCCAAAATCCATTACTTGCTTCGGCAAAAAGCAGGTTGTGGCCGCTTATGCAGAGAAGATCCCCAAAACCGGGTTTTTCTATTAAACACAACCTGAGAATTTCAAAGTTTTGACTTGTTTGAAGGCCATAATTTTTTTTCTTAAACTGGGCTTGGCCATTTATAGACGTAGGCTTTTCAACAACCTATTATTTCGATTAAACCTATGATGTCAGATGTGGCAGGATAGTTAGCAAGAAAAGTCCAAAAAACGGTCAACAAATCAAGAATTTAACGATTCCAAAAATCATAGCCTTTTGAATGAAAAAATTACGCAGAAACGTTACGCAGAACGAATTTAAGCAACTTATAATTTCGATTGAACCCAGAAAGTCAGATTAAAGAGAAAAAAAACAAGAAAACTTTCAAAAAAAAACGGCCAAAAAATCCCGGGGGCCATAAATTTTGGTGTCAGAAAAATTGGGGCATGGTCGCAATAACCAAATGAGCTCCCCACAACCCCTTCCTTGAATTGAACCCAAAATCTCAGATATGGCAGGGAAGTTTTCGAGAACATTCAGCGAAAAGTCAAAAAGAATAGCAAAAAGGTCAAAAATCAAAAAGTGGATTATTCCGAGGACCATAACTTTTTGTCTAGCAAAAAACTGGGCGTAGCCGCTCATGCAGAAGAGTTTTTCTAAACAGTTTTAATTATTCAAACGAAAAGCTCAAGATTAGTAGTTATCGAGAAAACGAAAAAAATCAAAAATATGGATTAAAAAATCCCATATATTTTTTCAAGACGGTAAACAGAGAGGTCAAGAAGAAAAAATTTCTAGGTAAGTATTCAGGCACGCAGTGAAGTGGGCAGTCTTTCAATTGATACCTTTTTTTGTGTGTGAACTGAGTGAGAAAAACAAAAATTTAAGCAAGACGTGAAAACATTTTTCAAAACGAAATAAAAATTTTTCAACAAACCGATTGGTAAGCATACAACCAACTTGAAAAGTGCGGAGGATAGTGTTAAAATTGTGTTTTGCTTGTAACGACCCAAAATTGAGTCATTAGGCCGATGAAAAATAGGCCGAATTAATTTGGGCTGAGGAATTTTTTTTAGGGAAACAAAAAAAAACAAAGGAAATATATAGTCAAGGTAAGTAAAATTACATATTGTAGTAGTAAATCAATCACTAAAAGCAACATAAGGAAAAAAATTCGCGCAGCAAAACAAAACAATTCAAAGATATGACACCTAAGCCGACAAACAATAAGCAGACAAATAATTGGCCGACAACTTTATTCGAAACAGAACATTTCCGGTTTAAAAAAAAACAGGTCCTACTCAGATTCGAAGCCAGGACCTTTGCCGTCCAAGGCATAATCATTACCTCCAGGCTAAAGTGGCAGGGAACGCAAATAAGTTTGAATTCATTATGAACCAAGATACAAGTGATTCAAATGATTCTGTTAAACAAGTTGTTAACCCGGAAAAAGTCTGTATTCCAGTTCGATAACGCTTGCTAATCGCAAGCGTAAATTGTTCAGAAAGAAAAATCAGATCACGAAGTGTTCAATTTTTTTTTCAGCAAGCTATTGAAGCATTAAAATTTTTTAAAACAGTTATTTTATAGGCCAAGCTTTCCTCGGCAAGCAATTCCTCAGTTTTCCGAAAGAAAGTTTTCCTAAGCGAGCTACACACTTCGACAAATGTTTATCAGACCAAAACAATTTACAAAAAACTAAATTTTTCGTACGCTGGCTACTCACAATGAATCTTTGATTTCAATTTGGTATAATGAGCGAATCAGTTCGCAAAAAAAAACATGTTTTTTTTTCAGCAAGTTATTTTCTGGACTGAATCGATTTGCACAGAACTGAATTTTTTCACCACTTGCGATACAACAAAAAATGGCAGGGCAGCTAGCCCAAAGAAAAGTGACGCAAGCTAAATAAAAAAATGTATTTAAAAAATAATTTGAAAAAAAAACCTTTTGAAAGTTTGTCTGGAATGCGGGTAAATTTAAGGAAAAATACAACTGCCAGCGTTATTAAGCGGATACTGAACGACAAAAATTGGGTAGACGACTGTTGAAAAATCAAAACTGAGCTTTAAACGTTTTTGAGCTTAAACAAATTCCTTAAGTCCCCCCCCCCTCCTCACACCTTCCCTTCCGTAAGGACGAAAGCAATTTTAAAAATTTGGTGCTTCATACAACAAATTAACAGCCAACTAAACAGATATGCATCAGTCAAAACCATAAGCCGAAAAAACCTCAAAGTTAAAAAAAGCGAAAATAAAAGGCGAAAAAAGAATATTAAATGTATATCCAACAATAAAATTTCGAATGCAACGGCCATTTCAAAGGTAGATATGTTCAGGAAAAATCTGTTGACAAGCATTCTGATCTGTTGCTATAGGCTACCTTTAGCTGTGGCTATCAGGCGAGCTAACTGATTTAATTGAGTTTGTTAAACTAGAAGTGAACTAGAAAAAAAAGGTCTATATTCCAGTTTGATATTGATAACGCTTGCTAAACGCAAGCGTAATAAAATTAACAAAATTTGAGAAAACTCGATCAAAAGGTAAAATTTTTATTTTGCTAGGAAATCTGATAATTAAATTCCATTTTCGAAATAAGAAGTCGCTCAAGTTTTTTGAGATCTTTAAACTTTCGCTGTACGATAGTGGAAACTGCTTACCTTTTAACAAAGGTAATGAACTGAACTTGAAAAGAAATCAGAAGTTGAACCGCAAAAAAATCAAGTTGACTTTTGATATCCTTTCAGGTTCAGTTCATTTCCTTTGTTAAAAGGTAAGCAATTTCTGATATCGTACAGAGAAAGTATAAAAGTTTGAAAAAATTGCGAGAACAAATTTTAAGAATTTTCATGAAAAAAAAACAAAAAAATCATCACGACCTATATAAGAGTTCATCGACTATTGATAAGACAAAAGTATTTTTAAAAACCAAAAAATATATATAAACTGAAATAGGCAAAAAACTGCAAGCCGACTGAATTAGGCAAAAAAAACTGCAAGAATGAGAGTTAATGGGGTTTTAATACGATACTACACTTGAATCCCAACGAACTTTCCTGGGGGTACATAAAAAAAAATCCACCCTACGCTATAGCTCCTTCGCATCCCTTGGTGGGAAGGGTTTAAAATAAACTGCAACACACTATGGAGGTCCCGTGTTAGTCGGTTATTGCACTCGATTTGAATTCTAAGCCAGAAGAAACCGACAACGTTGATCCGTTGCATGAATTTAAATAATTAAAGCTCTCTAAACGAATCAAACAACAGGCCTCGATCATCCAAGTTGACCACCATATACAACTGTGGTATCGACCCTATAAGTAAGAAGATAAACACTAGCCACACAGAAAGCGAAGACATCCTATTAAACAGCCATTTCTATGCAGCAAAGTTGCACTCATAATATACACAGAGGCGAAGCGGAGCTTCGCATCACTCGCGATGCAACAAACATGAAAAAAGTGAGAAAAAAAACATTTATATTGAAAAAACTAGGTGAACCAAAATTTTCGTATTTTTCGATAAAAAGCAACTACAGGCTCAGCTAAAGCTGGAGGTACGTGTTTGATATTGATTGAAATTGCCATACCGATGCGCCACGAAAAAAAGTAATTTCAAAAGTTGGACTTTGCCAAAACTTTAGTTGTTTCTCTACTTAAATAAGTCAGAAGAGTTAAAAATTTTGACATGATCAATTTCACTAAGGAGAAAATTTTCTCTAAATTTTCATCTCAGATTTGATTATGTAAATTATAAAAAAATTCAAAAAGAGTCCAAAAACCAGTCGAAACTTTTAAAAAATATTCAAAAGACTTTCCAAAATCCATAATGTTTTTCTGCAAACAGCAAGTTATGGCCGCATAAGCAGAGAAGATTTCCAAAGCCGGGTTTCTCGATTGAACACAGCCTGAGAATTGGATGGCAGTTTTCGCGTAATGTCAAGTTTCCAAAAAATTGTCAGATTCAAAACTTTGACTTGTTTGAAGGTCATAACTTTTTTTCTTAAGCAAACTGGGCATAGTCAATTATAAAGTTAGGCTTTCAGCAACCTGTTCAGTCGATTAAACCTATAATATCAGATTTGGTAGTATAGTTAGCGAGAAAAGTCCAAAAAACGGTCAACAAATCAAAAATTTAACAATTCCAAAAACCATAGCTTTTTGTGTGAAAAAAAATACGCATAAACGTTGTTATGCAGAAAAAATTCAAGCAACCTGTAAGTTCGATTAAACCCAAAATCTCAGATTTGGAGGGTAGTTTTGAAGAAAATTCGAAAACTTTCCAAAAAAAGTCACAAAATCAAAACTTTTACATTTCCGACGGCCAAAACTTTTGGAGTAGAAAACATTATGCGTATTCGCATAAGCAAAAAAAGCTTGCTGAAACCCGTTCTGAGAATTGAACCCAAACCCAAGGTAAGGCAGTGTAGTTGGAGAGTATTCAAAAGTTTCAAAAACACGGCCAAAAAATCAAAAAATTGAATGTTCAGAGCGAGATAGTTTCTTGTGTACAATGTTTTGATAGTGTCTGCTAATGCAGAGGAGCTTCCCACTACTTGTTAGCTTGTTGAACCCAAAATATCGGATTTGAAGGGCTACCTTTCGCGAACGTCGAAAATATTCACAAAACGATCAAAAATCAAAAATTTGACTATTCCGATAGCAAACATTATGTGCAAAAAATTGGTCGTAGCCTCTTATGCAGAGGAGCTTTTTAAAACTGCTCAATTCATTAAAACCGAAAACTCTTTCTTTATATTTGAGAAAACGAAAAAAAATCATGGGTCAAATATTCAGCCACACTTTTTCGAAGGCTGTAGACAGAGGCGTCAAGTAAAAAAAAAGACTCAGGGGAGTACGCATGCACACAAAGGAGTAAGCGGTCTTTCAATTGTTACACCTTTTTTGAAAATCAGGAGAAGTTTCTCAGAAAAACTTAAACTTCTGCAAAAAGTGAGAAAAAAATTCCGAAACAAAAAAATGAAATTTCAACAAACCGATCGAGAAACATACAACCAACTTGAAAAGTGCGAAGGGGATGCCTAAACTTGTGTTTATCTTGAACCGGCTTAAAAAAAGTCATTAGGCCGATGAAAAATTGGCCTAAATAATCAAAGATGTGACAACTAAGCCGACAACAGATGAGCAGACAAATAATTGTCTAATAATGGCCGACAATTTTATTTGAAACAGAACATTTCCCGTTTGAAAAAAATCAGGTCCTAGTCAAATTTGAAACCAGTACCTTTGCCGTTCCAGAAATATTCGTTACCTCCAGGCTAAGTTGACCGGGAAGGCTAAGAAGTTTGAATACAGTATGAAACAAGGTAGAGATGAGTCTAGACGAGTCCTGTTGACAAAATTGCTTACGGGAAAAGAAAAGTCTAGTACCCGGTTGCAAAACCCTTGCTTATCGAAAAGATAAAGAAAGATATGAAACTTTAAAAATTTTGAACTATTCCATGAAGCAAGTAAGTTCACGGAAAACCAAGTTTTTCTAAGCATGCTTCTCAAGCTGTGAAACCATTAAATCAAGTTATTTCATAGACCGAATCGGTTCGTAAGGTTGAGCTTATCTAAGCAAGCAATTCAAGCTAAGAAAAATTGCAATTTTTAAATTTATTTAAAGCGAAACGGTTCACGATAATTTTAAGTTTTTCTAAGCAAGTTATTCAAGCCATGAAAATTCGAAATAAGTTATTCCATAGCTCGAAACTCTTCGCAAAAAGTTTGTTATTCTAAGTATGTTCTCAGTTGATTCATTTCAGACTGAAATGAATCTGTAAACGTAACAATTTTATGTAAAAGTGGGCCGTTTCTGTCTAGCCTTGAAGTTGAATCAAGTTCATTTTGTTTCAAATCTTTCGGTCTATTGCCTATAAAAATTCTAGAACACTCACGACTTCAGAATATTCAATGGTCGCTCTGAATGATTCTTAGACGTTCTGATTTCAGCCTTTTTAAACGTAGCGCTGAAGAGTCACTTAGACATTAGGCCTTAATCTACATTGATGTCATTGATTCAATATACAAGATCAGAAAAATTTCAAGCCTCAACTGCATCAGTTCAAAGATTAACAGACAAAATGAAGGGAACTGAATCTAGTTTAAAATTTACCCTTCCATGAGTAAATAGACGGCAAATTGTTGAAGAGATCGACCCAGACACAAAACAAAATAGTAAGAGCCATGCAATCGCTTTTCATATTTTAACTACAACCAGAAGAGCAAAAACGCGCCTCATCATTAATCATTAATAATGATCTGTTCATTATTAATCTGTTCAATTTTACAGGCAATCAAAACGTCAGAATGAATTGACAAAACTATCACAGCATGTACTGTTTAACAATTCAAGCGTGGCTCGTATTTTTTATTAGCCAGCTTGGACTTTAGTGCTATCTTTTCTTTAAATTTCTAATTGACACATCCGACGCTGGTGTGACAAGGACTGATTATAATATGGTTTATTGAATTTTTTTTCACTCTTTCAATAACCGGTTACAAGGTTTACTTCTTATACTCATAGATCTAAGAATTCTGTCTCTGTGTTTCTGTCCCAGAGTGAAAAAAAAAGAGAGCCTTATTCTTTTTCACTTCCGCTGAGCCTTATTCGTTTGAATGAAAAGAGAACGTTTTAACTGCATCAATAAAAAGGCTGCAAAACTGAACTCGAACTTCGATAACTTCTAGTTCAACAAAAAGGACAATATTCAGTTCAATCTATGACACGCAACACGCTCATAGAAATCCCGTAAAAATTAACAAAAATTTTGGGAAATAAAAGCTCCTCATTTATTTTTTTATTTCATCACAACCACACTTAGTTAGTTCTCAATGTTGCAGCAATTTCAAATTTCTGAGCTCTGCCAAAATCCCAGAATGATTAGATTTGAGAAAATTTTCTTCACCGAAGGCAATTTTTTGAACAGAAAAGCCATTATTGAGCTCAATAAAAGTTCGTGCTTTTCGGAGCATGCTTCCATCTAAAAAACTATATATATTGACCAATTATGACATCGGTCATCTGCTATGAAAAACTGGGTTCATTGTTGCTCCGATCACTATTGATTAGCTAGTTTATTTCATACAAATTTTAAGCACCTCAAAGAAAGTTCAGGGGGTCAAGGGCAGTATCATATTAAAGCCCTATTGGTCGTGATACGGATTCCAAAAACAAACTGGTCTCATTGCCAACAAAATTGGTCGGAAGAACTTCGGTTTTCAGACTAATTTAGACAAAATTTGAGGCCGACCTTCCTACTACCATTTTATCGTTAAATTACAACAAAATTTTTAAATTTAAACGTTATTTCAGCTATTTTTATTTCCTACTTTGTAGTTTTTCATCCAATTCATTCGCCCTAAACAAAACCAGAAAATTGTCTATTTAATTTCTTGAATAAGCATGGTCGGAACACTGCGCTCTTTGTAAAGCACCCGGCAATCCTCGTTTCTCTAAGAATCTGGCGTTGTTTGGTAACGACCGTTTTTTTGGTTGCCATATAAAAGCCAAATAAAAAATTCAGAGGAGATAAATTACAGAAAATTATATGCAAACCACCACAAGGAGGAAACTTTAAATGTTGAATTATGTATGGATCTCAAAATATTTTTGCGCTCGCTGTTTGTCAAGATCGATTTGATTTGCATATTCTAATTGACTCATCAAACTGAATGATAATTCGATTACCTTCCAATGGCTAGGCTAGTTTACCTCAGATACCTTGAAAGCAGTTTTATAACCGAAACAATGATTTCGAGAAAAAACAGTAACCGATAGATAACCAAAACAATGTTCGTGCTTTTAGCTCCGAATAAATTACTACGTGGATCTCAATTGCTATAGACCCTGACACCAATTTAAGTTTTGAAACATTCCTTTCAAATGACCAAACCCTAGAAGGAAATTATTTGCTGCTGAGTTTCTTTGCAATAATGACTGTTGAACTTACTTTTTATTTTCGGAGTACTCTGATAAGAACATGAGAAGGGAGAGTGCGTATAGAAAAGGGTAGCGAGTGAGGTAGAGCCACGGTATGTAGAGGCGCAACTTCACTGCTGCCGACTTCAGCTTTTCTACTACTGACGCCATATCCCGTTCACGCTTCCTTTAATCAGATCACGTCATGCAAAAGAATATCTGAAAACTTTGACACCGAACTAATTTTTCAAACACAGATGCGAAGTACCTCCGCTTCCGATACCACATATAAATAGCATTGCAAGCTAGCAGACAGACACAGAAAAGAGAGCCTTTAGTCTAAAAAAATGAAAAAATTTGAAAAAACGACTTCAAAATGTTGTCTGGAACGATAGACTATTTGCAAACAGAACACGTCCAGATACAAAATCGACGGCGTTTAATTAAAATTCAACAACAATTATGGATCGAAACTCTTTTGTTTTTGGTTTTACAGGAATTTACTAAAGTTTAATAAACTAGGGTAAACTCCTCTAAAACCGAAAACAAAAAAATTGCCATAAAAAACTTTGAACTATAAATTAGGTGACTAAGCCAATAGAATATCAGCAGAAATCATTTGAGCCGAATACAGTTTTCCAGCGAATTAAAAAAGGGAAAATATACGAAGTCAAGGCTAGTAAAATTAAAAATTTGAGGAGTAAATCACAACACTAAAAGGAAAGAACTACAATGAAAATTGCGTTTATACATTAAAAATCAAATATAAGATGGGGCAACTAAGCCGACAAATCAGGAGCAGACAAGTAATAGGCCGACAATTTTTTTTGAAATGGAATATTTGAACTTATTGTCTACCAAGGTACGAAATGATTCAAGTGATTCTATTAAACAAGTTAACCTGAAAAAAACTCATTCCTTTCTTTCCTTACATTCCTTTGATAACGCTTGCTAATCGCAAGCGTTACTACAGTGAAAAAAGGTGAAAAGTTGCTATTTTGAACTCAGACATCAGCAAATCCCAACATGATTCAATGTATTAACATAGTTTAATATCGAACGAGATCAACTTCCGAGTCCTTTTGGCTATACTCTCTAAATTTGAAGTCGAAAGAAAATACAAATTTCTTTCATTGACATTACAGTGAAACTGTTAGAGCAAACCAAATTCATTTCATCTGTTTAAACTTTTAGTTATTTAAGGGTTGCACAAACCATAAAATTCCTAGCTTCCTAGCTATATGGTTCAGCTTTGACGAAACCGAAGCCTATTAATCCTACCACGGTGTTTAATTTGTCCGATTTTGACTATTTTCCCGAAGACAAGATAGCTCGAAAAGGTTGTACTGTGGTTCAAAAAATAGTTCCACAAAAATAGTTACAACTGGAGCCCTTAGGCACGCAAAAAAAAGTTTAAAATGCAAGAAAATAAATCCGAAAAGAAAAAATAAAAGAATTAGAGCCACGAGGCACGGTTTTTTTGTCGCCTTGCTTTCGAACGTAGTTACCACATCATCCAATAAAAAATACCCGTTCCAATAAAAAATACCCGTCAGTAAGGAAGGATGCTTTAATAAGCGGTCTGAAATGCACTCAATACATCACTCGCAAAAACTGAACATAAAACTCTTTGCGACATTAGTTGAAAAAAGTTTAACTCGTATTATAACACAGCGTTTAAATTTTTTTTAGTAATAAGTAATTCCTAGTTTTTTTCTTATTTCAACGGCCCGCTCACCAGAAAGGTTCAACGGAAAAACAAGGAAAAATTTTAGAGAAAAAGTATGGTACTGCAGATAACTGCGCCAATTTCAAACCACTTTTTCTTTTGCTTCCAAAAACCCTAAGTTAACAGAATTTTTTACTGGACACTTTTCCCATTAATAGCTTCGAGCATGAGACTTTTTTTGTCCCGACTATTTGAAAAATGGGGAGGAACTTTGTTTTCGGGTGTTTTAGATTTTTTCTTTGTTTTCCACGCAAAATCAGGCATCACATATAATTATCGGAACGGGTCGAACGATATATTATATTGAAGCCCTTTCATCCGTGATTCGAACGACATTAAAAAATTTTGAAAATTTTCTCAGTGTCGAGAAAAACCGGTTCGCAAAAAAACTTACATTTTAAAATTTTTTCGTTTTCCTAATCATTTTTCTTCAAAAACCGTTTTCCAATTGACCTATTTTACTATGACTATCTTCTATTTTTGCCTAATATGCCTAAATTCTATAATATGCCTAAATTCTATTTTTTCGTTCAGATCTTTTAATCACAACATGCAGAAAAAAACGACAATTTTTGTAATTTTTAAAGACTTTTGTCGGAACATTCTGTGATACATGCATAGCAACCGGCTATCCTTGTTCACTTATGTATTTTTACCATTTTTCTAAGATAACTTTTTAGAAACCACTCATGTTTTACTATAGTTCGGTCGAAACATAAGTCGAACACCTCAACCCGGGTAGAGCAAAAAGGAGCGCTAACAGTCAATCTATTCTGCTTATGAAAAAAAAAGAAACATTCAATTAATTTCAGCTATTTACTGAGGAAATAGCCCGTGTTTAAATGAATTTTGTTAAACCTTTTCAATTTATTTTTGATTGCCCCTGAGATCACAAGTTAAAATTTTTATTAATTTCTGGCAAAGTGAATGGAAACAGTCTGATGATCAAACTTGAGACCATCTTATGATAGAAATTTCCATGTTAATTGCGACTATTAAGCAATTCAGTTTTAAATATTCATAACTCCAGGCAACTATTTTTAAAGGACTTTCATCAAATTAGACCATGCCTTGTTGCAATTAGTCTCTGTCTGAGACTGTTTTTATTAAATGTTCACTTCAATTTCTGGCTCCATTGATTATCTTTTTTTTGTGTTCTTTTGAAGTGACCAAAACAAAACTGGGTGCGTGCAATAATACATGTAAAAACTACCGTGTCTTTCCTATTATGGCCTCCCAGACTAGTAATAAAAAATAATAGCCCCCAGCCCTGTGGTGATTTTACCATTACGGGGGGCTTTAATTTTTAGGTGGCGGACTATAATGTGGAAAACCCCAATTAACCTAGATAGCCATTAACCGACATTAGCAATTAATCGAAACTCGAAACGAAAATTTGATATTGTATTATGTCCACGCAGGAAGCAAAAATGGTACGCACAACCTAAGAAAGAGGTGGATATAATTTATCACAAGATCAAAAAATTCATCTAATTCAGTTTCTAATGCCACTCTTGACTTAACTTTCGATTTACAAAAAAATTATAAAAGGCCTTAAAGACCATTGAATTTCAAAAACAGCTTATAAATGACACTTTTTTGATGAAATTAAACCAATTTGAAAAACTGGATCAATATGTAAATTTTGTATTCCTCCGGGAAATCTGAAATTAAAATCCACTTTCGAAATTTAAGTCAATCACGTTTATCGTGACCTTTAGAAATTTTCTGTTCGATAAAGGAATTGGCCTTCCTTTTAGCAAAATAAAGGAAATTGAAAAGAAATCAAAAGACCAACCGAGAAAAATCAAATATTACTGTGAACAACCTTCAAGACGTCTTCCTGAAAAAAAAAGCAAAAATAAAGATAAGCCGTAAAAGCAAGGATAGGAGTAAAACAAAGTAATAGATAATTTTGTAAGTTAGGTTTTCAAATTTTTTTTATAAGCCTGATCGCTCGCTTCATGCGCACGCAATTAGACAAGGATCTATAACTTCTAACCGGTTTTTCTCAACACACGAACTTTTTGGGAAATTTCTAATGTCGTTCAAATCACGACTGAAAGAGCTTTAATACTATATATCACTCAATCCATTCCGAAGATTATTTATGGTACCTGATTTTGCGTGAAAAGTCTTTAAACATGCCCGAATACAAAGTTCCTCCCCATATTCAATGATCGAAACATAAATCATCAAGACCTGGATTTTCTCTACATTTTCAGGCCGACCGAATTGAATTTCCGAAATCTCCCAAAACGATGCAATACGCATATAACAAAATTTTTTGTACCGCGATCGTTTTTTCAAAAGCTTGACCAAAAAATTGCGTTAAATGTTTGACCGAAAAACCCACACTCTTTTTAGAATTTGTAAACAAAATTAATAACTGGTAACAAATTTAAAAAAACATTGGGCAAATAAGCCGACGGAATTAAAGCCGACAATTGATAAGCTGAAAAACAGCCGAAATATTTTCTGACAAAAAATCATTAAAAAGTTTAAATCTACCCGCTACAATACAAACCCTATAAATTTCTCTCAGTAAGGCATTCAAAGAAAACCAATAACCACTTCACAATTGAACATCATTCCATCCAAGAGGTGTTTCCTGTACTCGGCCTGTTAGCACCACGTCCGACAAAAACTTATAAAAACTTCGCAAAAACTATCAAAAATGGCAAAAGGGACAGTTTACTGATTAGTTTGTATACTATTGCGGCCTGAAAAAAAAAGATTTGTTTGAAACATTTGAATTAAACTCAAAATGAGAATTTGTAGCTCTTCGGTGAAAAAAATTGTTCGCCTGATTTTGATCACGCATAACTGCCTTTAGTCACGATTTTTTTTATACTTACATACATAAATATTAACTACAGTTTCCTATTTAAAATATAATACAATCTTCAATTTAAACCGGCAATGTGACATTACAGCACATAGGATTGTTGCGCCATATATAAAAAAAAATGATCACAAAATTGTACAAATTTTCGAACTTCTAGAGATGAAATTGAAAACATCTCCAAAAAAAATTGAAACCCAAGCTGTAATTTAAAAGCTTTCGACAATATTTTCAACCTTCAAAACACAGCACAAAAATTTCAGCTGCAATATTTTTCGTTTCTATCAAGGCACATTTTTTTTACCTGCGACATCAAAATAAAATTGATTCTTGATTATATTAGCAGTCAAACGCCCCAACAACTGGTTCTTCTGCTGAAGGGTATGGTGAAACGAACTGAGATGATTTCATCGTGAATACCTTGAGCAAAAAATTTGTATTTTCACAGTTAGCCGAATAGTCCATTTTTCTAATGTGCTCACAAACTTGAAAGAATATCTCGGAGTTTTGATCTTTTGAGGCACTTGTTTGGAACAGTTGCTTGGACGCTGCAGTCAAACTAAGGTCTACAAAAGCCTGGAAGACATTTTTGAAATCGTCTTCGCTTGAAAACATAACCAACTTGCATAACCAAATACACAAACTGTCCTGCAGTTCAGCTTGGTGTTTATATTCGTCGAAATTTGACAATGTCTGACTATTGACCAAGGCCTCCAAAGCCACATTGACACATCTCAAGAACAAATCCTCAAACTGAGAACGACTACTCATCGACTGCAACGAATTCACCGCATTTATTTTCACTTTGAAGTTCTGACAAGACTCTATAGTATTAATCAAGGCTTCCTGAAGGGGTTTTATAAACTCTTCTTTTCGACGACTGGTCAAAACTGAGTTCTGAAGGACAAGCCCTGCCGCGTAGCATGCGTTCCACCTCACTTTAGCAAGACATGGTCCCGCAACTAGTCCGATCAAAGCGTCAAATGCAGACTGCAACAGAAGGTTAAACCTCGGTTGCTCGTCAAGTAGAGCATCATTTACACAGTACAGAAGGCTTCCGATTCCTCTCACTGCGTTGTATTTGCACCTATATTAAAATTTCCAGTTCAGTTGCGATAAATTTTGTAGGTCGCAAATCAAATTATTTTACAGACAACTCTAGCTCTACGCATATTTTAAGGTTAACAAATGCTCAAGAGTCAATAAAATTTTTAGGTGCACCAAAAACTGTTTCATCATTAAAAATTGTTGCATTAAAGTACAAAAACATAATTTCAATAAGCGCTATTTTAGGTAGATTTCTTGATTAGAAGTTGCGGAAAAAGGCAATAAACATTTTTTGTAATTCGTAAAAATCAGTATGGTCGAAGAACTCACCTATCTTGATCTTCACTGCTTTTGATGCAGGACTGGAGACATTGGCAGAAAATGGCCGGAGTGAGCTCCAGAAGAAAGTTGGGGTCTGAGTCCGAGAGTGCAATGAAGTTGTCAGACAAGTTGGCAAGCGTCCAGCAAGCTCGCGAACGAACGTACCTGAAGAACAGTTCAAATATTTTACAAAGAGACAAAGCAGAGCTTCGTACCACTTGCGATACAAAAATGAATGACTATCACTACTTGCATATGAGTCGACAAACAAAAATTTAAGAAAATAGTTTTCAAAATTAAAAATGCAAAAAAAAAAGAAATCTTGGAACTGAATGAATTACCTACGACTTTAAAGTTTTATAAAAATAGGCGAAGCGAAGCTTCTCACTCCTTGCGATACAACACATACATAGCAAGACAAACTAACCGGCAGAATAAATGAAAACCGATGAAAAAATCATCAATTCTTTTTTAGAAATATCGAAAAAATTGATCTATCAAAATGTTCCCTGTATTTTACTTGAGTAAAAGTTCCTTTCAATAAATGTTGCCTCCAGGCGATATATTCTAAGCGGAAATTTTTTAGCCAAGAAATAAGGGGGAGAAACTAATTATAAAATTCAGACCAAAAAAAGTAGACTTGGATATGACGTAAATTTCAGTCCTCCACTAAACGTTGAGATGACCGAAGTTGTTTACGTGGAAAAGTATGTAAGCCACAAGTACAAAAAATCAAAATTGATATTAATTTCATGAAACAAAAATGAGAAAACTCAAGAACATGATATTGTTCATTATTTTTGAAAATATCGTGTGTTTTTCCTTGTTTAAACTTCGTGGAAAGTATTCAAATTCATTCAAGTGAATAATCTAGAACTCTTTAGTTTTTAAAAGTCGGGCAGGAAAAAGGACTGAACCCTGAATGTATCTATGTATCAATCTCGCACGTGGGCAAAATGAATCACTTGAATTTACCTGTTGGTATGCGATATGAGGGAGAAAATAGCTTTTGAGACATCCACAATGAAAGTGTAATCACTCTTGAGCGAAGGCAGAAACTGGATATAACTGCCCAGGGCACGGAGGGCGGCGCCTGCCACGTTGTGATCACTCTCCACCGAGTATCCTTTGAAAACAAAAACAATTTAAGCAGGCTGTAGTGAAAGTAGAACAGAATATTTCGATCACAGTTAATTTTGTTTTAAAAAAAGGCATTTTGCTTTTCAAATATTGCCGTTTCATGAAGCATGTGGAGAAGAGTTAAGAAAGTTTTAGCAACAGTAGCACTTGAAATGGATCAATATGATGAGTGATTCTTCGCTCGTATATCCGTCTGAAAAGGACAAACTTTAAGCCAGAAAAGGACATTTCTGTGTTAAAAGAACAAACTTTAACACAGAGATGTTTTGGTATCTTCAAAAAATCGATCCAACTTTAACGCGCTTCAACATGGTTTATAATACGATACATCTCTCTACTATAATTTGACGCAATTATTTGTTGTACCTGTTTGGCTTGATAAAAATAGAAAAAAAGACACGAATATAAAGCTCTTTCCCACTTCGAAGTCGGAACAAGTTCTTTCCCTTTTCGAGCCGTTTTTTTCCCTAAAACGTAACTCGAAAAATTTACATCAAAAATGAAAATCAAACACAGATAGCCGGTTACTGTGCAACTACCACAGAATGTTTCGACCGAACTGATATAGATTTGAAGAAACAAGAATTTAAAATGAATTAGGTGAAAAAGCAAAATGGACTGGTACAGATAGCTGAAACAATATTTAAACGGGAGTAGATTTAAATTCTCTCATCGCGTGTCATTCGCTATTTTAAATTCATCTAGTATGAAAAACGGAAAAATTAAAACGATAAGAATTAATCGGTGCAATAGATTTGGCTAAGTGCAGGCCCAAACCTTTCTTCCAAAAGTGGGTCATTTAGAGCTTATTTTTGGTTCTGATTAGTCATCTAAAAATTTCGCCACTTAAAAGTCAAGTTTCTGTCAAGTTTAATCCTTAAAAATTCTAAAACTACCGGACTAATCTTTGAGAAAATTATATCAACCTGAGTTTTTGATATAGCCGAACAAACTTTCAGAAAAGATTGATGTCCAAAAATATGCATAAAAATGGTTTTATATATAGTAAAACTGACTTTTGCTATCAAACAAAAAATATTCGTTCATAACATAACGAATATTATACCCTTCTTAAACCAGGAGATTATACCCTCCTTAAAATTTTTTGGTCTAAATAAGAAATAATTTGATACACAGTGGCAAAGCTGCAGCTTTGCAAACACGAGCGAGAAAGCAGCAAAGATCCAGGAACTTTAAAATGCACAAAAACTCGTATTTTGCATGCAATAATAGAATAGGCTATTCTTGCACCACAAAAAAACTGAAGGTAACCACACTAACTTTGTATGTAATAAATAAAAAAGTATTAAGCCAAATGCGTAGAAAATATGCATTCCAAGAACCTCACGGAGTTACCCGAGTTGAAAATTTTTTGAAATGAGATCTTTATTATTATTCTCTTGTATGAAACAAAGTTTTTTCGGTTCAATAGATGAATTAAAAAGCAACAATTGTGTTAGTTTATTGCTAATCGAAAGTCAAAGCGCTGAGGATTATAGGGCTTCTGTAGCCTACCGATTCAAAGGTGCCATCAAAAGTTGCACTTTTGCTTGTTACATAGGTTGAAAAAAGTTGCATCTAACTATCACACTACGCTACGCTTGTGGAACAATTTTCTGACCGCTTGAACTAAAAGAATCATTGAAAGCTGTAGTTGATTGAAAAGAGCCAAAAATTACCCATTTTGGGGTAAAAATTGACCCGATTTTTGAAGAATAAATTGCACCATATTACTACTGCTAAAATGTTAAGTATCTTTAGTCCCCATCAATTTTTGTCTAATGTCAAACAAATTAGAGAAAACGCGTTTAAAAATCCTATTCTGTTCGTTTTCTCCGATAATTGAAATCAGCACTATATAACATGAGATTGAGATAGACGAAAGGCATCATAAGTACCAATTGAGACCGTACCCTAACCTATCATGAGAGTGACGCAGTACATCTTCCTCGAGTGGGGTAATCTCTCGTAGACTGAGGGTGGAATTGCAGCTAGACAGTCGCAGGCAACTGAGCGTATGGCACTTCTATTTTTGGGTTTAAGTAGCTGAGTCAAGGGCCCATCCAGTACCTTAACACACGCTCCAATTAGGATATCAATAAAACTAGACCACTGATATAAAATTGAAAAACCAAGTAAAAACTGAAATCGAAGAACCGAAAACTGATGAACGGACCATATTTGGATTAATCTTAATCTGCTATTCTTAGTCAAAAGAAACTGATTTTCTAATGTTTAAGCAAATATGTAAAAATCATGAAAATTCTCTCTGTTGTGTAAAAATTATGACGGAATTCTGCCTTCACAAGGTTTTGGGGAAAATTTCCAGAGCAGAAAATTCTGGCTCCTGTCGTACGTAGAACAACAGCTGTTTATTTTTTCCGCAGAGTATTATTAAAAGCTATAATAAACGAACTCACATGTTTCCAAAAGTCAAACAATTTATCTGGACACATCTGTGTACACTTGGGCATAGCCCTTGCCACTTTCTCCAGCATGGCCAGAACTGCTATCTTCACTTCCTGGCAGAACACGTCTGGACCCAGCCCTGCATCCACCAGAGTCTGAATTGAGTCCACACTAGGTAGCATGACTTGGAAGTAGTGGACAGACAGTGAAGCCACAAAGTTGTAAGCTGAAATCTTAAGTGCCTCTGAAACAGAAGGAAGAAAATTTTTAAAAAGCCAACAACAATTTCAGAATGGCTCCAAATTTTTTACTTTTAAATTTTCATTCAATTTCTGAGACTTTCATGATCGAAATTTTTTCCGTGAGAGTAATTTATTGCAAATCACTCGCGTGCATATTTTTTTCGTAAATTTGCGTAAGGTTGACGAAAAACGTTTTAGATTTTCGATTACTTTCAGGCCTTAGATGGAAAAGCACCACACGACACTAATTGGAATCAATTAACACCGCCAGCAGACAGTTGGAAAAGAGTCAATGATCGCAAGTAAATAGAAAAAAATACTGACCTGATTTTTTTCTGCTTACTTTTTGAAAAATCTCAACTTTCGAATTTCCTATATGGCTTAAAGCTGGCCTTACGAAATAGATGGCCTTAAAGCACTTTCAATTACTGGAACAATTTATGATTGACACTTTTTTGATAAAATTGGCCCAATTTGAGAAAACTGAATCAAACTGAATCAATAGCTAAAATGTTTTGTTTTGCTGGGAAATTTGATAGTTAAATTCCATTTTTGAAATTACAAGTTGATCACGTTTTTCGTGACCTCTACACTTTCTCTGTTCGATAATGGAGTTTGCCTTTATTTCAAAAAAGTCTATATTCCAGTTTAAAGAAATCAAAAGTCAAACCGCGAAAAAGTAAATTTAAGCCTGCCTTCTGAAAAAATCGAAACAAAATCATCGCGACCTATATAAGAGTCTGAACTACGTTCATCGACTCTTAAAAATGATAAAGACTAAAACATTTTTCATGGCCATACGTTAATTGAGCTTTTTGTGACTAGTAAATTGAAAGTCAAGCTCCACACGCCCAAAAAAATAGACCAACTTCAGAAAAATTTTTGTCAAAGAAAACTAATTCGGAGCACTCTGCAACGCGCACTTATTCCTCCAGAACGAAGTGGCAAGGAACTTTGTATTTCAGTGGTTTTATTTACTTTATTGATTCGAATGAGCTTGGCCTCGTAAATAGTTGGAACGTTGACCTAACATTAAAACGATGACAGCCTAGAGTGCAATTTCCTTGGCTAATTAAACCTTAAATTTCAAACTCTCTGCGAGTTGCAAACATGAACTTTTGGTATTTGACTGCTGTGATCATAACTCACAAAAAAAACACATTGCAATATCGTCGTTAGATGCATGCTTTTGATAATTTTAAAAGAATCACTTCATAAAGAACTTCCTGGCCGACATATGGCTGTTGAACTTTAACAGTTTTTCATCAACTATGAACTTCACGTTTAATTAAATACCCACGTGTTGCCAAGATCAATTAAGTAGCTTCATAAAAGAGCTTTTTTATAATTAGTTCCTTAGTGGAAGCAACAATTTCCAAATTTTTTTTTAATGAAAGCCTTTCAGTTCACTTTTGCAATACAGGACTTTGCCTTTATTCTTAAAATAAATGTCACTTAGCTCTCAAATTAGCGTCTAATAAGCTTCAATTGAAACATTACCTTGGTCAGGGTTGGTGCTTTCTTTGGTGTAGGGGTGACCATTGTGAATTATGTCTTTCATGATTGACATTGCCCAACATTCCTCCCCTTTCAACGACACCACCGCCGCTGGTTGATTTTTCTCCATGGGTAGTTGGTTCTCATTAGCAATATTGTCACCCGATCCTCTTATGTGCTCCAAGTCATTTTTAGCACCACCTCTCAAATTCAGCCCCGAGACACTCAAGCACAAACTTGACCTGGAACCAGCAACTGAGCTCCCTGATAGCCCCGTTCCGTAGAGTCCATAAGAAGTTAGAGGGGTATGGGCACCGCTTCTGATATATCCCCCTCCCCTCGCACAACCCGAATCGTCCGATTCATTCAACAATTTAGCTCTGCTTGGAGGCTGGAACTGTTTGAATATCTCGTAAACTTCAGCTAGCGGAGGATCAATTTGGGTGATCGAGGAGAGACACTTAATAGCCTCTAGTCTTGTCGGACAGTGAGTTGAGTTGAGAAAGTTAACCAAGTGTCGAACAACTCTAGTAAGGAGACCAAAACGCAGCTTGTGATAGGGAGTGGACAATATCAGATCTGAGAGCGCCTTAAACATAGCGAGATTTCTTAAGTTTTAAGTAGCTTTTTTTGCAAGTTTTTTGATACAGAAGTCATTTAAACTGGTAAAAGAATATTTCCAGAATATAGCGTAAATGTGCTTCATAGCTTTAGATATCTTAAAACATGAAATAATATGAAAAAAATCCAGATTTAAACATAACCAACAGATAGCTGGAAAAGTTTCAATGTACTCAAGATAATAAAACAACGACTGGTCATTTTGGAAGCAATTCCGGAGAACTACATACCGTCTTTAAAAAAATGAAATTCTTATAAGGTTGCAAAATCAGAACTTAAAAAATCACAAAATGTGGGGAAAATTTTTCGAACTAAATTTCCCGCACTATTACTGGAAAAACCAGTGAGTTTTAACTATAGTAAAAATTGCTTAAATCAGAAAAAATCTCTGGTATGAAAAATTTAGCCGACAAACATTAGGCAGACTAACGATAGCCCGACCGTTAAATCTTCCAAGCAGAAAATTTTGAAGTTCCAAAAATTTAGGCTATTGGCCGGACTCAAACGCTAGATTTTGGTTGCCTCAATCATGTACAGTATCTCTAGGCTGAGCGGGCAAAAGTAGTAGAATTACCTCACGGATGTATGGCTCTCATTGAAAATATCCACTACTTCGCATTACTCAAACCTCATTGGTTGAAAAACAGCGGTGGCTGTGTTGCGCTATATCTAGACATAAACGGCGTTTTTTATTGCTCGCATCTTAAATAAAATCAGTGAAGTCCGGAAACTTCGGATCAACTCGAAAGAAAATCGTCCCAAAAATCGAGCATCAAATAGTCTTCAAAATTAAAATTGGTACATTAATTTAGAAATTCAAAACAAAACCAAAATTTTTTTTCGTTGATAATAGCAGTGTTTTTGGGTACCTATACATCGCCAATCGAAGATTGGAAAAGAGTAATGAACGCAAGTAAACATAAAAAAAGACTGACTTTCTTGAGAAAAAAACTTTCGAGTTTCAAAGAAAAAAATAGATGCCCTCAAAGCTTTTTGAATTACTAGAACAACGAATGATTGGCGTTTTTTGACAACATTAACCCAACTAGAGAAAATTGGATCAAAATGTAAAGTTTTTATTCCGCTGGAAATCTAGAAATTAAATTCCACTTTCAAAACTAGAAATCTTTCTCGTTTTTTTTTGCGCCATTTCCAGGTTCTTATTTGAAGAGTGCTATGTACGTCATTATCAGCAGATGAACTTCAATTGAACTCAAAAAATCATATATATCTGAGTGCATTCGCAGGTTCTTGATCAGTGCGAACACAAAAATTTGCAAGCGCAGGTTCTTGATCAGTGCGAACACAAAAATTTGCAAAGGCTTACCGTATATTTTCTGGTTCCAGCAAGTAATTTCTTGTCGAAATTTTACTAAGGATCCCCTTTTGGTACTAAAAAGTGACAGGCATTTCTGGCTGATAAGCCGAAAATTCTCTTAAAAAGCACATGTATACCATGACAATTTCTGCCAATTTGGAGCAGAGAGAGAGCCTAAAACCAAGTAATTTTTGCTCAAACTTTCAAAAGGTGCTTAAACATTTGACAAAACAGACATTTGACAAATCTGGTTATTCTAGTGTTCAGCCAAAGCTCCTAAAAGCGAGAAGTCTGATTTGGAAAAAAATAGCAAATGGACAATTGGAAAAATCAATGGGTGCCAGGAAACATAAAAATTCATATGATTTTTGAAAAAACTTGCAACTTTGGTATTGCGAGGAAAAAAATAGATGACATAAAAGCTCTTTGAGTTTCGAGAACAGTTTATAAATGACACGTTTTGATGAAAATGAACCCAATTCAAGAAAGCTGGACTAATTAGCCAAATTTTATATTCCGCTGAAAAATATGAAAACTTAAATTCACCTTTCGAAACCAGAAGTTGATCACGTTTTTCGGATTACACTTCTGCTGTTCGATAATCGAGTTTAACCTCCTTTTAATGAAGGAAATGAACTTAAATTTAAAAAAAAAATCAACATTGAAACCGCCAAACATCAAACCTGAACGAACAAGACGAACAAAAAATACAAAAAAATTATCACCATCTATATATCTATAGGTATATATCTACAGCACCATATCAAAAAATCCTGTTATACGGCTGGGCATTCATCATTAGGTTCCATAGTGAAACCAAATATCAACGAGGGCCAACTTTTCAATTCATGAAGGCGGTGCCACGACTCAAAACTGCTAACAGAAATAATGAAAAAAGTATACACGCAGAAAACTTGCTCAGGTAATTCATTTAAGAACTGCTGACAATTCGCTAAAACTAGGAAAAGTTATTTCAATCACAATTTTTCAATTGAAATGCATATTCAATTAGAAATTCTTGACGTTACCAAAGACATCCAATAATTTTCAATTAACTCCACCACCAATTTATTCCGAACATACGCACGAAAAAAATCGAAATGTATCAGGATAGCATAAAATGATGTTATTTTTAAATAAAGTACAAAATCCCACATATAATTCTCCGAGATACGTTTGGTACGATATCGCAGTGGATGGCACCGCACGCAAATACTTCAATGCCCTAGGCTGAGAGATGTTACCCTTTTGACAGGGCTCTTCGGTTGCGACTCGGAATTAAGCTGATTCGAACTTATTTTCCCGATGTAGATAGCCTCAGAACCGAAAATTCAGATTAGCTGTCTGAAGCGATGAAATTGCATTCTTCTTCCGCAGTGTATTCAGATTCTTCGTCAATATTGTCTAATTTTACGAAAGTTACATACTTGAGCAATATGTCTTTCTTTCCGCATGATTTTTAAGGGACTTTTTTCGCTGGGCAAGATCGACAGTGATTAGATAAATAATTGTGTCCGCAGAAATAGCATGGTTTCGACTCTCTTTTTTGTCGAATCATCAGAGTTGTTGTTGTTCTGAGCTCGGTCTACTCTTTTGCAGCTTTCTTAAATCGACTTTGTCTGTTCTTGTTTAATCTTCGAGTTCTGATTTGAGAATGAAATATGAGATGAAGAATTCTGGCCCATCTGCTTTTTGCAGTGTTGAAGAGGTAGCAGTGGACAATATTCGTAAAAATCCTTGAATGTTGTATTGGCCAAATTGATGTGAGTGAAATTTTGTAGAAATCGTTTCTTACTTTCGGTTCCCATTGAAAAAAATTAACATTGATTTCACCCTTTGATCCGCCTCGTGGTAAAAAGAATTAGGTCCGATTTTTGGTCCCTTCTTGCGACATTCGTTTTGTCTGTTTTCCGAATTTCTGCTTGGTTGCGCTTAAAACGATTCTCAGCATCAGTGGCATATTCAGGTTCTCCAATCCTCTCTGCGTTCTGCTTCCGGAGGTAGGTCATCAAAGACTTGGCTGGTTCTGACAAAAAGTCATTTGGGTCACAATGTTCCCTGAGTGTAACCGCTAAAAAGAATTCACCGATCCATGTGTCCCGATTAAAAAGTGGGTCTGGAGTTGGTCTAGGCCAAAAAAATGGAACTCCCAAAAGATCTGAACGATCGTCGCGATTAAAAACTGCGGGTTTCGCCGTGGAATAATAAACCTACTAGGAATTTCTAACTAACTAAAACTAAAATAGAAGTTTGAATTCAATTGGTTATATATTGGTTTTGTTAATTCAAGATGATGATAACTGCTATCTTTCAACAACCATTTATAATTAGTAGCAAAAAGTTCGGACAGACAGAATTAATTAAAATGAGCAATCAGTGCTTTTCGACGCTTTTTTGCATGCAAAATCTGAAGCCCAACAACCTTGAATTTTTTGTCAGGCCAAATTCAAAATGCGAGATCGTCGATTATCCGATGATTATGCTAGCCTAATTTTTAAATACTGCTATGAGCATCCAGATTTTACTATAAAACATTTCGACGCTTCGGATGCAATTGCCCGCCGTGGTTATAGGTTTTGAGCGAAACTCGGATCTACTTAACAATCCCCCTATTGTATCTACCAAAGAATCTCCACCCCTGTAATTGAAAACAGTAATTTCGCACAAGAGCATTGTATGTAAATTCGGATTTCGCTGCATTCTTATTGGTCGACAGTTTGCTGCAAGTAACCTTAGTAACGATCTACTCCCATTTCTTGAAATGGGGATTAATAAGTAGATCCCGTAGTTCTGCTTTCTGAACTTTCGACGTTATGTTTATTTCAGTTTTAATTTTCGTTGATCTCTAGACAGTTGCTCTTTTTAATTAATTCTGTCTGTCCGAACTTTTTGCAACTCTCTATAACAGTGACACTTTTTGCATCGATTCATTTTAGCACATAGTCAAGTTCGAGATAACTGTCCCGACCTTGAACATCTGATCTAAATCAATCACACTTTAAACAAATCTAGCACTCACACATAGACTAGCAATAAGTCAGACAATACTAGGCTAGACAGCCGTCGCAGGTGGCTAGTAGATTTGGCAGGGGTGAACAAAAAGCATGAGTTGCCAAAAGCTCACAAAACAAACGCATAATTTCCATCACCCAATCGCGATAAGATTATGGGAGAACAAGGTATAGTTTAATTGTGGCTGGCGCAGTGGTAATGAGGCTTGCTTAGCAATTATAAAACCGTGGCTTCCAAATCACATTTGTGCTATCATTTGCAAGCTCAGTTCTTGTTTACGCCCTATAGCTTATTTACGTTACATAGTTTACCTCATTATCTTCATTTTAATTAAGACATGATTGTCCCGCACTATGAGCATATTTTAATCAACAACAACTCTGATTCTTAAAAAAATTATCCCAAGGAGAAAAAATTGGTCTATATGATTCAAATTCGAGCTTCATTTTATCTTCTTCAATGCGAAGATTTGCAAATTGACCAGTGTCTTACAGTTACTAATGCGATTGAAATTGTTGGTGATGTACATGATTTTCACCTGCTTTCAAAATCTACCAAATTTATATTAACAAGTCACCAATAATTAGTCCAATTCAGAGCAAATCAAGCGTCTTTCTTTGTTGGTATGAAAACAAACTAAAGATATGAAGCTGCTCTAAACAATTGGTTTGTTTTCGTTTTCTGGCCTATTAACTTTTGACATGTGTTTTCATGTGTAAACACTTGGTATTACGAAGATATTTTTCATAATAACAACATCAATTGTACCTCCTGATGTGATTGTAGTAAGACCATTAAATGACTCCTACTAACAGAGCATTAAAAACATTCTATGAGCTCATAAAAACATTCTATGACTATTTGTATTGTGACGTATTTCTTTAGAATAATGCAAGTAGGACGGCTTTTGGCACCAATTAATCAGAGCCATAAGTTTTCTTGACCGATATCCGTTCTTAGATTCCAATCACATTCATATATATTCAAGTACAGCCGTGTTTCCATAAAATCAATTGTAAAAGGGCATCTTGCGTGAGACGAAAAAACTTCAAGTAGTTCAAACAACTATCGGTTGACTTCTTATCAATATCCAACTGTTTGCCAAATCCCGCCTGCAAGGAAATAGATCGCTCAAAATCGCCCACACTCAACACAAACATTTGATGGTAAGAAATGGTAAATGTTATACACTGCGTGTGGTGAAATAATTCAGACACAGAAGCAAGGAAAGATATGTTTGTCTAAGACACACAGCGAGTCAAGAGACAAAGCCTCCGAGTGTTATTTGAGCAAACATTGCGCAAATTGTTTGAACAACAATGTTTTCAATCTCCCTTGGATAAAAATTTGAAACACTTCCAGCCAATTTATCAAATGATTGGCAACAAAAAAATACTAAAACCAGCAGAAAATCCTTCGAATCCCCTAAGTATGAATTTTGACGTTATCGCCTTATCGGTAGACAACGCCTACGTTTAAATTTATCTCTAAACTGACAATTTAAACTCTTGAATCGTTTTCAGTATAGCAAATGACCTTCAAATTAAAAATCGCAAACAACTTTTTAGAGAAAAAATAAGTGTTCGTGGAATTGGCAATAATTTTTCTCATTATTTTCTCTTGTTTTGAAATATTGCTAACGCGTGAGTTGGGCCACCTACAATGCGATATGTTTTCGTGATCGGTTTTGGCTCGAAGTATCTAGAGAGCATTACAGAGACAATTGAAGCGAAGTATACAGAGAGCATTGGAGTGTTAAAAAAGACCAAACAAAAGCCAAAATAAACACCAAAATTGAAAGAGACCGGGTTGCGAACCCCAAATTACAGTTTTAACTAACAACAAATGTTTGCGATAAATCAAATGATCTCAATTTGAGAAACTCTGTTTCAAATGGGGGCTAAAAGTTTATACTTAACTGTCTGGCTGTGGAAAAACATCTCAAATTAGAGTACTTGTATACTCTATGATGGTAAATTTAAAACTCATTCGCGAAACACTTTGTTATTCTGTGTACTTTTAAAAGTCATAATTGAGAATGTTATCAAAGTCAAATGTAAAAAAAAAACTTCAGGTGAAGATCACAAAAATTTATCAAATCTTTACATTGAGTGATGAACAGAAACGAACCAATTAGATCTAATTTTAGCGAAAGGACAATTTTTCAGGATAATTGAGGCCCCACCAGAGTCACAACATATTTAGATATATTGCGAATCAAGAGATTTTGAGTCTCATGCAATAACCACTCAGCCACGCACGCTCAAACACTAGTCACGAATAACGCAGCTGCATATAATAAATTGTCAATGCCATTCAGCAAAAGTGGCACCAAATACAAATAGACACAGTTTAGCATGTACAAATTTGGAATATAACAAACTGAAGGCATCCACACTAACTTTGCATGGACCAAATCAGAAAGCATAAAGCCACATTATGTATATTATGCATTCAAAAAAATTGCAAGATAAATTGAGTTAGAAAATTTCTGAAATCGAGTTTTTATGATTGTCACATTGTTTAAAGCAAATAACTTTTTTCGGTTCATTTGATTAATTTAAAATGCATCAACTGTGTTAACGTACTACTATTCGAGTGTCAAAGCACATGCTATCAAAAAGTCGTCCCAAAAGTGGCGCCAATATTTGCGGTTTAGGTTAGAAATAAAGAAGATTCTTAATAATACACTAAGCTGACGCTAGTGTAAAAACCACGAATCCGAGAAAATAAGACACCTAGAAAAAAAACTAATGAATCTGCTAAGTGTACTCGGTACTTTGATTTGAATTTTAAGGAAATCTATCCTGTCATCCTGGAAATGAAAGTAACTGCACGTAATTCTTACAAATTTGTAAGAATAGATGTTAACAGGAAAAAAAATGAAAAAACATTGCGCCAAACTGTGCCAATAATTAGTGCTTCTCGAATCATTAACACAGAGGCAAAGCTGCCAAAGAAAATCAAGCAAATTAAAAATGGTAATGGTCTTCGAAAGAAAATGACTTCTGCGGGAATCGAACTTCAGTCATTTCAAGTACATAAGTCGACTGCCCTAAAAAAATGCGCCACTCACACTTACAATTTACATAGACCAAACTAGTCACTGATAAACTGGAAAATGCATGCTATTAAGCTGCCAGTACTATGCAACAAACGTGCCACCAAAATGAAAACTTTTATTGGCGAGTTTAGTTGGAAAAAGTGAACTTCAATTATGACACTATGCTCACTAGCTCGATTGGGCATTCGTAACATTGACATAACGCTTAAAAAACTGCTTTTTCAGTTTCCAATCCCTCGTCGAATTACCATTTTAAGTTGTTAGAAAAATGTTCATATGGCAATTTGCATGCAAGAAATATTGTACACAATGGAAAAACATACAAAATTAGCTCCACAGGAGTCTATGTCACGCCATCAACTACCTACTGCATTGGAGTCTACTGTTTTTTTAATGCTGACCTACATGCGCATGCTATCATGTAAATACCAGCCACTAATTTTATTACGTTTTTATTGCAGTTTATAATATCAAAAGTCAATTAAAATAGAACTTCGTAAACCGAAATTTACTAAAAAAAATCGAAGGGGGCAGACAGGAACAGAGCCAAAACAAAACTTCAAAAACTTGAACAAAACTGAAAAAATTTGACTGACAAAAACTGGAAGAACAAAAACTAGACAACAATAAATAAAACTAGAGATGAACAATTTCAGCCTGTGAAAACGGTGAAAAAATTTTAGCACCCAGTTATAATACCAAATCTAGAATGAACAAAAGATCATACCTGCAAAGCAACTGGCAAAGTCACGAACCCAAAATCTAAACTAGTAATCTGCACCAAGACGCGATGCAGCTCTTTCACCGAGGCAGCTAGAGTGTACGAGTAGGAAGTATAGGCCTTCGGGTCATAGCGATCATCGGCCGCTGCCAAAATGTATGGCCTTGCCAAGACTAGAAATTGTGAGAGACATTGTAAAGCTTGGACTTTAGACTTCATATTTCTGTCTCGCAACATGAGGTAGAAAAACGGATGCTGACTCGGAACGAAATCAGTGATGCTTTCGTCTGGAATAAATTGCCACCAGTACCCGAAAGTTAGCTTGTTTGGCGAGAACTTGAGCACTTCCAATAAGCAGTTCAGTGAAACAGTGCGCACTTTCTTGCACACACCTCCTAGCTTGGACAGGTCGCTATCGTGTTGTTTCTGTGAACATAAGAATTTTTGCGAATTTGATTCGGAAATAATAGAAAACTCCGATTTATGACTTCCTAAAAGCTCTCGAATATCTATGTAGTCTTCTTGTGGTGTAACTAAATCTTTCTCTGTATCTGAGAACTGACTTGTGACCATCTCACTCTGTGTATTGTCGTCATCGCTCTCAAAATCTGAATCATTCGCAGTATCATTTCCAGCACTCTTCTGATTTTTTATTTTCATTCTCAGCATATCTTGATTGAACGCAGTTTGTTGTGCCGAATTAGCTCCCAGTTTATTCATAATGCTCGTGTTCTTAATCGGCTCAAGTGGCCTTTGAGGAAGGTCGTAGAAGCCTGGGAGTCCCAAAACCATGTAGTACCTGATTGATGCGAAAATGGAGCCCAAATTACGGGTAATTTCGCCCTTGTTGTACTGTGTTATTGAAGTTATTCCATCGAATGCGATCACGATCAGACGTAGATGAGATACCTGGAATAAACGAAACACTTTAACCCAAGAAAAAACGACTCAAGGTCACGTGACCTCTTTGGGGGAGGGCTTCTGTAGCGATTCTGCTTAGGCGTACATATATAGGATTTTCTAGGCTAAAAAGCGCTGACTAGTATTAACGTGTACTGCTATCGGAAACGGCAAGCAACATGCTTTTTTATCTGATCAGAAAAAAAAAGAAACAGGCAGAAACATTTTTAAAAGAAACCCATAAATTTAGCATGCAGATCAGTAAGAAAAGAAGCCAAAAGCATGGCAATATGAACAGGCTAACTGGTCTTGGAATCAAAAGCACATTCAATGATTCATCTATTAACATAAAAACTAAGGGCTCATTAAGCTTTGAACTCGAAATAGGAAGGCGGATTTTTTATATATTAAAAATTTGAGCAAATAGCTTGAATCTGATTAGCTGATAGTCAAAACCAACAGAAAAATAGCAACTAGCGATAGAGCAGTTTCTCTATTTTTGGACCTCATAAAAAGAAACAAAGAAAGAATGAATTTCTCCAGTATATGAAAACATCAAATTTTAAATATACAACATGACAGATTCTGAGACTTGGAGATGACAGATAACGGGATCCTAGGATCCACCACGGATCTGCCAATATGTTTGTTTTTTTTTTTTAAATTTTAAATTCTTTTTTTTATGTTTCGGTAGATTCGATTAGATACTTAAATTGTTGGTGACTGACACAGCTTTTCTTTCAGCATGGTTACTCTAGCTCAGTGGTCAGTGGTTGGATTAGTTATCGTTTATCGTTTTTTTTTTTTTTTTTTTTTCTAAGTATTTTGAAAACAAATTAGTGAGAAAAAATTTTTAAAAATCTAAAAAGTGCGATTTCTCGAAAACTAGCGGGTTCTGGAGGGTCATTTTTTTCCACCTAATTCGTAACCCTACGGGGGTTGTCCAGCAGCATTTAACCAACGGTTGTATTAGTTTTTTTTTTTTTTTATAATTCATAAATATATTTCACCAATTCGATATTTTGAATCAGATAAGTTTGGAAATTGTGGTAATAACGCGATATTTCCATAAAAGAACTATTTTCAATATCCACTGGGAGCAAGCCCAAGCTATTCATTTTATTATACAATTTGCATGCTCTATATCGTATCGAGAATCTTTCGATTTTACGTTTGCAAAGAGGTTCCAATAGTTAGTATTTGATGCCATGAACCTCTGGCAAATGTGTTTTAAAAAAAGTTGCAGGTTGTTAATACCACAGTTTGCATTGAAGAAAAAGTGTTCAACTTAATTCAATTGTTCAAACTGCCGTGCTTTGGTTCGATTTGTAACATTAGAATTCAATTTAAATATCATTTAGAAAAATTTATTTCAGCAAAAATCAAAGAGGAACTGGAAAAGCGTCAGACAATTAAGTATAAAAACTTGACTTATACATTCACCTCGTCCAGATTTTGTTCTTTGGGCTGCGTGAGGCAGTCTAGGAGCACTCTCAAGATGGCAGACTGAGTATGCTCGTGAATGACTCCTCGGTCACACCTGATGGCTAAGTTGGAGAAGCACTGGTACGCCAGACGCTGGATGTTGAAATCCAGATGACTCTGACCTCCAATATACTAACAAAGAAAACAATTTTGTGAAACAGTTATAAAAAGCATATTTTGCTGAAACGTGCTGAACAATCCAACAAATAAATCATTCATGAAATCTGAAGAAATCCTAACTAAATTGGTTTTCTATTAAAAATAGACTCATAGTTTTCTCGTTCCTCAGAATTGATTGATTTTTTTTCTTCAAATTTATAAAAACCTTAAGTTCCAAATGGGCAGATCTATACATCAAATCAAACATCAAAAATTTCAAACAGGTTTTCTCGACACTGGGAAAGTTTTTTTTCGAAATTTGTTAATGTCGATCGAATCATGACTGAAAGGACTTTAATATGATATATCACTCAACACAGTCCGGTGATTATTTGTGGTACCTGATTTTGCGTGAAAAACAAAAAAACTAATACAAATTTCCTCCCGAATACAAAGTTCCTCCCCATTTTCAATGGTCGGAACAAAAATATCTTTAATACTTAACACATAAAAAAACTTACGCCCTTCAAAACAGCTGAGTCTCCCACAACTAATATTTCTTTATGAGGGTCACTCATGGTCCCGGCTCCGTATAGAATGGCCCCTAGAGCCCTGAACAGATCATTCAGGAGCCTTTCGGGACTTGTTTTAATCCACTTCAAAATCTGACAAAGCGTGAAATCAAACGCCTTGCGGGACAGTCTAACTTGCAATTCATTCAGCGAAGTCTCGACAAAATGACAAAATTTCTGGATGCTCGATTGAATCTCCGGATCTCGATTACCAAATTTGCCCGATTCGAAAGATGATTTTTTGTGTTTGTTCTCGGAACTAAATTCACGAATGAGTCGCAGAATGGTGTTTGAGAGGGTCTCGTAAGTTGTACTTGCACTCAGTTTCGTTTTGAGACACTTGTCCAGCATTTGGGGCAGCGAGTCTCCCATTCGCAGGTCAAATGGGTCATCGAACACGTCTCCACGACTCATTGCCTAACTGAAAATTAACTATTTTTCAAATTCTTTGAACAACTCTCATTAAGAAGGACTGTCGAGGCATTTCTAACATTTTTTGTGTTGCATTTTCTCGAAGACTGAGAGGAACTTTGGTTTCGAGTCGTTTTTTTAAGCTAAATTTGACTGTCTCGAGGAAAGCTCACAGGGGGTCAAGTGTGGTATCATAATAAGCCTTTTTGGTCGTGATTCGGATCCTACAAATAAAATTTGAGAAATTGCTGTGTCGACAAAAATTGGCCTGATTTTTTTCACAAGGCAACTGGCTATCCTTTTTAAGTCAAGCATCCAGAGACATAATTAAGAAGGTTAACTATTTAAGCCTAACTAGGCTATGACTTTCTTGCAAGAGCTCGTCTCGCAAATTGCATCCATCTGCACGCTCGAACTTCGAAGCAGCACATGATTGCTAGCAAGTTTTACGAACACTTGCTTAAGAATACCCCAATGTTGCCCCTTTTGCCCTCAAACTCTTAATACGATCCTATATAAAAACCAAAAACACTTAAACTTTATTTTGCTTAAATTTCACATGCATTTTCCGCATTAACTTTATTTTTCATTCAATCGGCTCACAAAAATACAAATTATTGTATTTTTGTACTTCTGTTACCTTAAAGCTTCAAGATCAAACCTTTCTCTAGAATCCTCTAAAGTTTCGTGTTACCTTCAGCAAAACAAATAGAGTAGATATTTGTCTCGTTACGGTCAACCAAAAAATAATAGTCAAAAATGTCACATTTGCCAAATTCAATCGATTTTATTGGCAAGGCAACAATTCGTCCGAAGCGACTACTAGTATGATTTACAAAAGTGACCATTCTTAGAGCGCTAGTTTTTGCACCAAGCGACAATTATCAAATCAAGTATCTCCCAGTAGCGTTAGCAGCTAAACTTACTGCATCAATACACCGATTATTTAACTCGAAAAATCAAATTCCAAAACGCGAAAATATCTGGCGGATCAAGTTAACATATCCCCCCCCAAGGGCTTGGGGTGGGGAGGATGTTAACTTGGTCCTATCTGGCTCGCTTGGATTTCGCACACATGCAAGGTTAAAATCGAAACTAGATTTGCTACAGCTACTAGGCTCTATATTTTAAATGTTAAAAATGGACGATCCTTAATGGCATTTTGAAAATTAAATTTCTCCAACTAAAAAGCGATGACATTTACTTGATGATCATGTTGCAGTTGCTAATTAGGAAAAAGAACCTGAATCTTGCATCAATGAAATAGTAAATCGGATTATGAATTATTTCCGAAGCCGCTAGGTTGCCTTTTCATTAAATTTCAAAATCTAAGCCTGCTTTCATCTTTCTATTCTGACTTAGCTAGCTGCCCTTTTAATTAGCCTTCAGTTTCTACATCAACAGCATACTAACTAGACTGAGTATAATCAAATGATAAGATGGTAAAATTAGTTTCAAAAGGACAAGACGCCAACTTAAGTACAAAATGCCCAAATTAAACTTAATCAGCTGTCAATGTTATTTTTCGACTTTCGTAAGAAAAATGCGAAAATTTTTTTCAATTTTCATATGATTTTTTTTTGCTTGCTAAACAATCGTCACCCCTTACATGAATCTTTTCGATGAAAGTAGCTATTCAATTCTCATTCCAAATGGAAAACAATTTAAATCTGATTCCTTGACTTTTCGATTTGCCATGACTAATAAGTTAAGTCATTCTAAAAAGTACCATGCAATTTAACATTCTGCGGTTAGCTTTCACCTATGAAATTACAAATAAGCAGGTTTATTGTTAGTTCATGACTAAGATGCGTCACCAAATTGACACCCACTTACTTCAACATTTGCATTTTTAATGCCACAGGCTCCTTTTACTTTTCTGTCTATACTTCCACAAATAACTTGATTAACCTACCCCATAGAAAAGAAACATTTCAATTGAACTCCATGGAATTGGTAAACCCATCCCTCAGGAGGGGACAGGACAACCTATTATTACCCTTAATCGTTCACCGCTGGGCGGGAGGAAGGAGTTAACTCAATGGTTGTTCACACCTGTCTTGATCTCTGTATCTCCTTGGGTAACTGTACGAAAAATTAAGAATAAAGAGTAAACAAGTGACCCTGAAATAAAGAATATTGGGGCAAATGACGCGGTGACTTCTGAGGTTTTGCGCCTTTTATTCACTTAATCAGGTTCAGACGCAGCGCTCGATAACTTCATTACAATCAACCATGAAATTCCATCTAATGCAGTTAACTTATCCCTTTTGACAAATTTAAACGATTATACGCTCTCTAGTTCTGACTGACAAAATAAGGTTTCTTCATTTTTCAAATGTAGCCTTTCATCTTAGATTGATAGCAAAAAAATAATTGAAGCTTCGGGAGCTTCGGAAACTTGCAAAACTAAAAATGGAACCAATGAAAAAAGAGAAACCAAAAACGAAGCAACGATGGCAAGTTGAAGTGCAAGCCCATTTTTCTCGAGCTGCAGTGCAAGCTCCGAGTCAAGTCGCATTTTTCTCAACAGTGAGCTCAGGGTTTTAAAATTATTTAAGCATAATTGTTGCTCTGAGTTTCTAAGAAAGAATGGAATATTTGTGCTGACTGAAATTTTTCAAGACAATTACGACTTATTATTTATGACTGAATTCTCTATTCTTTCTGAAAAATGCTGACGACTCAAGGTTTGAAACCTTCAAATTAAATTTGATTAGATTTTGGATTATAATGATTCATAGACAAAAGTTGCATTTGAAAACAAAAACGTACAAACAACAGATGAAAATAAAGATGCCAACGAAGATGCTAAAGATCAAATAATTTTAATTGATGATTTTAGTAGGCTATACAACCTAGAAATTTATTTGAGTTTGGAGAAAACCCAGCATGCAGATGCAAGTGTCAGCAACTGCACGTATGTCTTACAGATATGTAGGAACAGTTGTTTAACTGAAAACTCTAGTTCCTGATTGAGGAAAAGACACTTGCTCTCGAAAGTTAAATACGGAAGCAATTAAAACGGCCTAAGCCTTTGCGAATAAAATAGTGAACTGCAGATAAAACTGATTACAATACGAGCAAAAACGAAATTAATCAGAAAATAGCAAAAAAAAAACTACGGCATCGTGGGCTGATAAAAAACGATCTTTACTATTGAACTAATTATCTCGGTGAATAATTTGACATTTTATACCCATATGACCTCAGTTGTTGTAATTACAGACCACCGACATTTTCAACAAGAAGTAAACCAGCCCACACAACTTCAAAAAGAACTATCTGAATTGACCTCAAAAAAATTGTTTCGGATACGTGTTGGATTCGATACTGCTACCTAAAGATTAAGAATCACACGCTAACCACTCAGCAACGGACGCTTAATAAATCCCAAACACTTTCCACATGTAAAGCAGAAAACAGATGCTATGAAACTTCCAATGCTACAGATCCTTATTATGACAAGTGAAATAAGTGAACATTTTTAAAGTCTGGTTGGAAAAAAAAGAAAGTGCGTACCAATACACTAACGGTCGAAGGTGTAAAAAGGAAGAATTGCAATAATTTTTATCGCAAATTTGAATATATATTCTGACATTTCATCCACCAAAGACATCCTGCCGAAAAAAGGAAATAATACATTAAAAATCTATTTGCTTGATAAAAACAACCCAAAAAATTAATTCTCCTGTACTCAATCAATTCTTTTTAAAACATCGGATTAAATTAAAGTTTATTCAAATATTAAACTTCACATTTCAGAAACCAGGAGTTTTAGATAAGTTTTTATCGCGTTTCAAGAATGCAAAATGCATTAACGTACATTAACTTTAAACTATTTCGAGATTCGAATAGTTTTTCGAGCTTTTGGGTACAGTTTGATAACCATTGGAAAAAAATCGCGGGTCGTATATCCTTTGCTATCGCGAAAGAATTCAATCAGCTTTGTTTTTCGTTTAAAAGATTAAAATAGCCCATTGATGCAATTGCAATATCCTTTTAATGAGAACCAAATTGATAAATTTTTCAATTCAACTCATAAAATCATCAGTAGCACGAAAATTAAAATCAAGCGACGCGTAAGCAAATTTTTTTGTGAAATGCTACCATAAATTGCGCCACTTCCTTATCTTAAATTTCACACAGCAATTATATAACAATTTTAGCAAATCCAGAGCGCCACAAACCCTAATTGATACCAGGTGAATTATTGAAGCGAACTCTATCTCCATCAGAATTGGAAAAGGAAAGACTTTTGTGGAAGATAACGACGTTAATGATTATAGAAAGGTGGCCGGCATAAATCATAATTCAAGTTTTGCAGTTTCTGCTGAGAAAAACAGTGTCCAAATTTGGGTGTTCTTCGAGATAATCCTATTTCCGGGTTCACGCTAATGACAAACAGGTACTTCTAAATGCCAACAATACTAGCATAACTTATAATGTTTGATTGATTAGAAAGGAGCAGATTTAAACGTTTTTAGACCAGCCCAAAGGGCGGACACTTGACCCGGTTTTGATAATAAATATAAGCCATGAGTCGAACGCGCTCTTTGACTGATACTAATAATAGAAATAATAATACACGCACGAGCGAAGCTGCACCTCGCAATTACAAGCGAGAAAGGACAAAAAAAAAGAAAAAAGGTAACACTAATAAAAATTCTGTTGTGCCAGAATCGAACCGAAGACCTAAAGATTAAAAGTTACACGTCATAGCTTTTAGTTACACGTCATAGCTTCTGATTGCAAAAATAAAGTAATTTTCAAAATGTCAAAAATTGGACATTAACCAAGTCCTTAGCTGATTCCTAGCAACGGGGAATATCTTTTGCAGAGAAGATTACATCTTCGTTTAATTACATCTGCTTTTTTTCAGAATTGTCAAGGTAGTTTTTGGAAACTGAAACATGACCAAAAATGGGTGAACGTTCACGTTTCTTCAAGCCTATAGCGGATTCCTTACATAAATAGAAAACATTTGCTTATGCGGGGATAACACTACAGCTATTTCTTTC